GAGCTTTTGTGAAAGAGCACAGTTAGAACGATATGGCATATAGAAGCAAACCGGATGGCATTATGAAAATGATCGGAGAGGTTGAGGGTAGAAGAAGTTCAGGAGTAAAAACAAACAAAATAGAATTATTGTAAAATTGACTGTGTCCATAAAATGTATATAGTATGTATAAGCTGGAAGTAGAGGCCTAAGCATTGTTGTTCACTAGTTTACTCCAATTAGGGAAGGGGTAGTGGGGTTGGAAAGTAATAAAGGGAAATATATTTTTTTAAAGGATATGTATATATATATGTATGTAGGTATATATATATATATATATATATATATATATATATATATATATATATATATACAGTGGGGGAAAAAAGTATTTAGTCAACCACCAATTGTGCAAGTTCTCCCACTTAAAAAGATGAGGCCTGTAATTTTCATCATAGGTACACGTCAACTATGAAAGACAAATTGAAAAAAAATTCCAGAAAATCACATTGTAGGATTTTTAATTAATTAATTTGCAAATTATGGTGGAAAATAAGTATTTGGTCACCTACAAACAAGCAAGATTTCTGGCTCTCACAGACCTGTAACTTCTTCTTTAAGAGGCTCCTCTGTCCTCCAATCGTTACCTGTATTAATGGCACCTGTTTGAACTTGTTATCAGTATAAAAGACACCTGTCCACAACCTCAAACAGTCACACTTCAAACTCCACTATGGCCAAGACCAAAGAGCTGTCAAAGGACACCAGTTACAAAATTGTAGACCTGCAACAGGCTGGGAAGACTGATTCAGCAATAGGTAAGCAGCTTGATTTGAAGAAATCAACTGTGGGAGCAATTATTAGGAAATGGAAGACATACAAGACCACTGATAATCTCCCTCGATCTGGGGCTCCATGCAAGATCTCACCCCGTGGGTCAAAATGATCACAAGAACGGTGAGCAAAAATCCCAGAACCACACGGGGGGACCTAGTGAATGACCTGCAGAGAGCTGGGACCAAAGTAACAAAGCCTACCATCAGTAACACACTACGCCGCCAGGGACTCAAATCCTGCAGTGCAAGACGTGTCCCCCTGCTTAAGCCAGTACATGTCCAGACCCGTCTGAAGTTTGCTAGAGTGCATTTGGATGATCCAGAAGAGGATTGGGAGAATGTCATATGGTCAGATGAAACCAAAATATAACTTTTTGGTAAAAACTCAACTCGTCGTGTTTGGAGGACAAAGAATGCTGAGTTGCATTCAAAGAACACCATACCTACTGTTAAGCATGGGGGTGGAAACATCATGCTTTGGGGCTGTTTTTCTGCAAAGGGACCAGGACGACTGATCCGTGTTAAGGAAAGAATGAATGGGGCCATGTATCGTGAGATTTTGAGTGAAAACCTCCTTCCATCAGCAAGGGCATTGAAGATGAAACATGGCTGGGTCTTTCAGCATGACAATGATCCCAAACACACCGCCCGGGCAACAAAGGAGTGGCTTCGTAAGAAGCATTTCAAGGTCCTGGAGTGGCCTAGCCAGTCTCCAGATCTCAACCCCATAGAAAATCTTTGGAGGGAGTTGAAAGTCCGTGTTGCCCAGCGACAGCCCCAAAACATCACTGCTCTAGAGGAGATCTGCATGGAGGAATGGGCCAAAATACCAGCAACAGTGTGTGAAAACCTTGTGAAGACTTACAGAAAACAATTGACCCGTGTCATTGCCAACAAAGGGTATATAACAAAGTATTGAGAAACTTTTGTTATTGACCAAATAATTATTTTCCACCATAATTTGCAAATAAATTCATAAAAAATCCTACAATGTGATTTTCTGGATTTTTTTTCTCAATTTGTCTGTCATAGTTGATGTGTACCTATGATGAAAATTACAGGCCTCTCTCATCTTTTTAAGTGGGAGAACTTGCACAATTGGTGGCTGACTAAATACTTTTTTCCCCACTGTGTGTGTATGTATATATATATATATATATATATACAGTGGGGAGAACAAGTATTTGATACACTGCCGATTGCAGGTTTTTCATCAGTAAGTCGTATTTTTATCTAGGAAAGACGCATGTTGATTTTTAGAATTGCAATGATTGCGAGCATGGATACATCAGAAAGGCAGAACTTATATTTGGGTAGCGAAGCTTTGTTGCAAGTACAGAGATCATACGGTTTCTGTAGTTCGTGACCAGGTTTGCACCCACTGCAGCAGGGATTTTTGGCCCAACTCCTCCAAATACAGACCTTCTCCAGATCCATCAGGGTTTCGGGGCTGTCCGCTGGGCAATACGATTTTTACTTTCAGCTCCTCCAAAGATTTTCTATTGGGTTCAGGTCTGGAGACTGATGGCTCCTAGGCCACTCCAGGACCTTGAGATGCTTCTTCTTACACAGCCAGTCCTTAGTTGCCCTGGCTGTGTGTTTCGGGTTGTTGTCATGCTGGAAGACCCAGCCACGACCCATCTTCAATGCTCTTACTGAGGGAAGGAGGTTGTTGGCCAAGATCTCACGATACATGGTCCCATCCATCCTCCCCTCAATACGGTGCAGTCGTCCTGTCCCCTTTGCAGAAAAGCATCCCCAAAGAATGATGTTTCCACCTCCATGCTTCACGGTTGGGATGGTGTTCTTGGGGTTGTACTCATCCTTCTTCTTCCGCCAAACACGGCGAGTGGAATTTAGACCAAAAAGCTATATTTTTGTCTCATCAGACCACATGACCTTCTCCCATTCCTCCTCTGGATCATCCAGATGGTCATTGGCAAACTTCAGACGGGCCTGGACATGCGCTGGTTTGAGCAGGGGGACCTTGCGTGTGCTGCAGGATTTTAATCCATGACGGCGTAGTGTGTTACTAATGGTTTTCTTTGAGACTGTGGTCCCAGCTCTCTTCAGGTCATTGACCAGGTCCTGCCGTGTAGTTCTGGGCTGATCCCTCACCTTCCTCATGATCATTGATGCCCCACGAGGTGAGATCTTGCATAGAACCCCAGACCGAGGGTGATTGACCGTCATCTTGAACTTCTTCCATTTTCTAATAATTGCGCCAACAGTTGTTGCCTTCTCACCAAGCTGCTTGCCTATTGTCCTGTAGTCCATCCCAGCCTTGTGCAGGTCTACAATTTTATCCCTGATGTCCTTACACAGCTCTCTGGTCTTGGCCATTGTGGAGAGGTTAGAGTCTGTTTGATTGAGTGTGTGGACAGGTGTTTTTATACAGGTAACAAGTTCAAACAGGTGCAGTTAATACAGGTAATGAGTGGAGAACAGGAGGGCTTCTCAAAGAAAAACTAACAGGTCTGTGAGAGCCGGAATTCTTACTGGTTGGTAGGTGATCAAATACTTATGTCATGCAATAAAACGCAAATTAATTACTTAAAAATCATACATTGTGATTTTCTGGATTTTTGTTTTACATTCTGTCTCTCACAGTTGAAGTGTACATATGATAAAAATTACAGACCTCTACATGCTTTGTAAGTAGGAAAACCTGCAAAATCGTCAGTGTATCAAATACTTGTTCTCCCCACTGTATATATATATATTTGCGAGAGAAATAAAACATATGGGGGACTGGAAGTGATGCAGACAATTACATTGATGGAAGTTACAATCTATCTGCAACATTAAAGCTAATCTACCCCCTAAAAATTAAAATAAATAAGAATCTAAAAATGTGCCATAATCATCGCTAATTGTCAGCTAATTGATTGACTGGCATAACAAGAGAAACAATTCTGATGCACAACCAAATTCGAAAGTGCACCTGGTGTATTCTACTATTCTTACTCTCAACAGTAAGTTGAGACCCTGACTGAGTTCCTTTTTGGGGGGTCGGGGGCCCTCTAGCGGCTGGGATCCCTAAGCGACCTTATGTTGCTTATGCCTGGAGCCGGCCCTGTATACACATGTACAGTAAATGTAGACAGGGTTGGGGGGTAGTGAACTACATGTAGTTTAACTAGTAATATATTGTGGTAGCTTGGTGGTAGTTAAACTAAATTCAAAACTTGGTACTAATTTTAGTAGTTAATTACGTTTTTGCCATGTAGCTAACTACTGGAACTACACACAACTTTCTTTGCAAAAATCTAATAACTTTTTGGCATCAGACCTGCCTAATTTTCACTTTTTAGTGTTTAATAGGCTAATAGGTCCCAAAACCTATTAATAGGTCCCAAAACGTTTTGCATGTCAGCAATCAAGTTTTCAAGATATATGACTTTCAAAAAGCAAATTGTCACATCATCATGATGATGCAAAATGCTGATGTGGTAAGTGGAAATGTGCTATTTGAAAGTACTATATCTTGAAAACTTGATTGCTGACATACAAAACATTTTGGGACTGTATTAACAGTGGACTAATAAACACAAAAAAAAACATCATTTTTGAGTGGATTATTCATTTAACATCTGACTCCAGAGTGAACTGTTCTTGCAATGTGTAGTCCATGACATTTCAGATTTAGACATGATCATTTTTCACGATGTAGTGAACTACTTTCCAAAGTAACTTTAGTTAAGTAAACTATCTTAAGGGAATATTTAGTGTAGCTTAACTTCTTCCAAGTGTGAAGTAATTGGTAAACTATATTTTCAGAGTAGCTTCCCAACACTGAATGTAGAAAAGGCTTGTTTTGGTAACCTCACATTACCTGGGGTAATTCAGTTCAGTCTCGCATGACCTTCACCTCTGGTGATCTCTCTCTGTTCCTTTTTTTCAAGCATCAACAATGGATGTTTTTATTCTGTTTGTTTTGTTGTTTGTTCTGTTGGCAAAAAGCCAGACATCCCACCACTCAATAGATAACACAGAGACAAACACGCACACAAACACGCACACAAACACGCACACACACAAACACACACACACCCAGACACGCACACACAACTCTCAAGACCAGCCTAAACCAGATACCTGCTGATCATAGTTAAAGACTCACTGTTCTCTCCACGAAAACAAACATGCTCACACACACACGTACACACAGAGTCGTCCAGCCAGATGAACCCCGTTAGTCGTTATCTCAGTGCGGGCTGAGTTAAACTATCACTACCTGCATGCTGTAAGGGTGTATGACATAAGTGTTCAACCAGAGGGGTATATACAGGACAGGGTCTGGGGCTGCACTTTAGAGGAGCCAGCAGACCCATACTTACTCATACCCGGACGGACTGACGGACTGACCTCTCACCATGAGGGTCGTCAATATCGTACGTATGACTGCAGAAAAGGAGAAAATATATATTTAGCTATTAAAATGTAACACTTGTAGTGAATTTGAGGTTTAAAAGGGCTTCTGAAGTTTGTAATTTACACTTAGACATTTCAGACTGGATTTTCACTTACGAAAAATGCATCAACGCCTACAATATTTATATAATATAATTAATATAACCCACAAAATAATCCAATAATTATTCATAATTAATCATTCACATTGCCTGTTTCTGCAGGATTGATGTAGCAAATTAAGATCCTACATCTGTATGTGTCTGTCTATCATAAGTTTAACTTGGTGTTATCAAGCATCTGATAACAATCAAATAATATTTTGTGTGATCTACTGCTACAGGTTAAAACTTTGTAGATGTCTAATATTTCTATTTGAAACGTATGGTGTTTTCTATCACATTGACCATGTTAAGATGTGTACTTTCCTTTCTTTGTCTGTCCCTCTGTCGATCTGTTCCAGGGTCCAGACCCGTCTCTGGCATATCGTCCCACCTTAGACCTGGAGCAAGAAGACAAGGACAAGACAGAATACAGGAATTTTGAGGTCAGCAAAGCAGCATCATTTTTATCATGCTTGCAAGATAATGTTACTGTTTAAGGCTGGTTATCGCAATACATATGTAATGTGTGTGTGTGTGTGTGCGTAACAGAGCGGGAGTCTGATTGATCGTGTGTATAACACATACAAGCTGATGCACACCAACCAGACCCTGGACTTTGTCAAGCAGAAGGTGAGTCTGTCAAGAGAGGTTCAGCGCAAACGCAAAAAACTCAGTGTGTGTGTGTCAGGAGAGCAGGCTAAAAACACCCAGTAATCTTTAACAGGGAGTAGTGTAACTGTGATTGTTAACATGTAAGATATTGTCTAATGTTGCAGATAACATGAACACACCACTCATTAACCTTCCCCACTCCTCCTCTCCTCTGCAGCACTCGGAGTGGTCAGGTTGTGGGCATGCCCAGATGGAGGTGATGGAAGCTGTCATGTCTCTGGACCAGCTGGTTGATGAGTCCGACCCTGACGTCGACTTCCCCAACTCATATCACGCCTTCCAGACCGCTGAGGGCATCCGCAGGGAACACCCCCACAAAGGCAAACTCACACACATACACACACGCAAGTATACATGCACACATGGCTCACAACTCCCATCCTTATCTCTCCTCCCTCTCCAGACTGGTTCCAGTTGGTGGGGCTGATCCATGACATTGGGAAGATCATGGCTCTGTCAGGGGAACCCCAGGTGACTGCCTCTCAATGTTACCCTAACTGATACAGCTTGTGATGCTAGGCTATGCTAACAGCAGTGGTAAAATGGCTTGTTAAGCTAGACAATGCTAGGCTAACTGCACTGTGTCCCTGTCCTGCAGTGGGCTGTAGTGGGGGACACATTCCCAGTGGGGTGCAGGTTCCAGAATGGCATTGTGTTTCGAGGCAGCACCTTCGTGGACAACCCCGATGACAAAAACCCTGCCTACAAGTACTGCTACACTTCTCTTTATACCACTCTAATCAAAAAGGTCTTATCAAACCCCATCATTCACTGCACAACATACCGGCTACAAGCCAGCCTGGAGAAGTGTTTACATAATACCATTTATATCCGCTTATATCCAAAAAGTGAATGTGCCATCTTAGATAATTAATTTACATTATAACCTCTTCTTCGTTTCATCATCTCTCTTCCTTCTCCTCCCCCGCTCTAGTTCTGAGTGTGGGATCTATAAGCCAAACTGTGGGCTGGACAACGTGCTCATGTCCTGGGGCCATGATGGTGAGTAACATACACACACAGTCACCACTGTAAGGCACATGAGCCTACACAGGAACACTACAGATCTGCTGTCTGTGTTGTTTGTTCCAGAATATCTCTACAGGGTCATGAAGTTCAACAACTGCACCATGCCAGAAGAGGTGAGTATGGTGGTCTATGGTTCTACATTAGCAAAGAGAATACAGGTTTATAAAAACTCTGTGTTTCTAGTTTAACACTGCTGCTTAGTGTTAACTCACCTAAAAGTCTTCACTCCTCCGCTCTCCCTCTCTAGGGTATGTATATGATCCGGTTCCATTCCTTCTACCCCTGGCACTCCCATGGAGACTACATGCACCTCTGTGATGACAAGGACCTGCGCATGATGCCCTGGGTTCGAGAGTTCAAGTACGTCTCACACACAGACATATATTTTCTCTGCCCTATCTGCAGTCAGTTTGACCTCTAACCTTTGACCCCTACAGTAAGTTTGACCTCTACACCAAGACCACTGAGATGCCTGACGTAGAGAAGCTGAAGCCATACTACCAGTCTCTCATCGACAAGTACTGTCCTGGGGTTCTGAAGTGGTGACACACACCTACTCTCACCTCAAATGTTTCATAAACCAATTAATTTCTATTACACTCAATTTCTCTCCCGCCCTCTCTCACACCCTCATAGAGATCATGCACAGCGGCAACACCAGCGCATATCCTCAGAGATGGATCACACTATTAGCTTTATCTTCAACAGACCTGGATAGCCTTTACCATGTTGTTGTCATCTGTAAGTCAACTGTATTATATTCAAATGACAGAACATTCTAATAAAGTGTTGTTTGTTGCTTAGAATGCTGATTACAATTCATTTGGTCTACAATTCTGTCAGATCACTTTGAATTTGTCTAATAATGAAGAACCAAATGGATACATTTCCTATCTTTATTATGAATGATAAAAAAAACCTTCAAACGTTTTCCATTTATGAATGTGATGTTTTTTCAAACGTGGAAAGACGCTTGGCGGGAAAGTGCATAATTGGTGATTCAGTACATATCTGGCAGCAAAGCAAAGGACCACAGTGGCAACCCAAACACCCTTTAACACACACGTAAACGTGTACAATTACAAGGACATTGACAAAACAAGTTATATTCTCCATTGGAATAATATTTGCAAATCTTTCTATTTCTATTCATTTCAAATAAAAAAAGTGATTGTCGAATATAGAATAAAGCACCAACGAAATTCTTTGGTTAGAAGGTTGTTGTTAGGAAAAGGAAGACCGGTAGCTTTCTCCTGAGCACTGGGACACTTAGACAGAGAGAGGGGAAGGGAGGGCTACCAAATTCCATGGTCAGTAGGAAACTAATTACTTCTTGAGACCGTCAGTCAACCCTCCCCTCCTCCTCCTCTTCTTCTTCCACTTAGTCTCTTACATCATTATCTTCTCTTTCACTCTCATTGTCTTCCCCACTTCTCTCATCCTCTTCTGCATCAACCTCCTTCCTCTCCTCCGGTCTTTGTCCTAGGCCGTCTTTGTCGTTGGAATTGGCCTCCTTAGCTTCAGTGTGGTGGGGTGTAGCTGTGGGTTTTGGTTCAGCCTTGGCTGCAGTAGGTTTGGTCTTGAGTGTGATCTCCAGCTGCTGTCCACGGAGCAGACAGAGGGTGATGCTGCAGAAGAGGAGGCTCCAGAGCAGCAGGGGCGCAGACACACCCCTCACCTGAGAGCGCACCCACCTCACCGCCTGGGGCACAGCTGCCTCAGACACACGCCGAGGGATGGACTTATCCTACACACGGGTCAGACACACACACACATATATATATACGGGTCAGACACATACGGGTCAGACAGTAACAGGTCAGACGTGTACACGCACACACGTGTCAGACACGTACACACACGGGTCAGACACACACTCACAGGACATACAGGACTCACACAACCCACACACTTGGAGCTTGCTGAGAACTATGGGTAGTTAGTTACCTTGAGTCCGTGTTGGCTGAGCATGCTCTCCAGGAAAGTGTCGCCCAGATGCACTGTGGGATAGAACTCCTCGATGTACACCCTCCTCCACCAGCGCTGAGGATACGACCTACAACACACATAAAATATGTCAGCTATGACACTGAGTCACCCGTTTACTGATGCTTTCTGCATTGCCTCAATAAAGATGTCGTCATTCAGATTATTAATGTGCAACATGAATCAACAGCTACCTCATCACCCAGCGGTTCTCTCTGTGTGTGTGTGTGTGAGAGAGTGTATGTACTAACCCATCAGCCAGTGTTTTAGTGAACCAGTATTTGTAGCGGTGAGCTCTGAGGTACATGGGAGGCTGCTGGTGGAACGGGTACTGAGACACATCTGACTGGATCAGCTCAATCACTGGAGAGAGAGGCAAACGGTATTAAGATATTTTACAATACAGTAAACTGACATTAAAAAGGTGTGTGTTTGTGTTAATTTGGCTGTATTGGCAGTAATGCACTGCCATTAACCTAAAAAAGAAGAAGTGTGTGTACCCTACCGTCCGTCTTGCCCTGCAGCAGTCTGTACATTAAGCTGGTGAACCAGGGAGAGTGTGTGTGTGTTCCCAGTGCTGCAAACCACATCTGCCAGTCCAGCCGTGGTTGGTGAGGGGTGATGACCGAGGGAGGGGCACTGAGGTTCCCTGGCTTATACATAAACTCTATCTCCTAGAGGAGGGAGGAGGAGAGAGAGGGGGGTAGGGAGAGAGAGATAGAGGTAGGACAATGGATACAATTAAGTTGGATAACAAATAAATGCCTTGGTGAACTTCAGCTTTGAAACAGATTAGTACTGATAACAGAAGCATTACAAACAGGTAAAAAAGCCATCTCTCTCCATATACACCTCTACCACCTCTCTCTCTCTCTCACACCCCTACCGTCCAGGTGACTTTATCCATGGATCCCTCGATGACCACCTCGGGCCGCCCCCCCACCCCAGTCATGCGTCTGAACAGGCCGTAGGAGTTGACCAGCTGGTAACGACTGACCGCATCATAACCCTGACGCACTCCCGGCCACACACTGCCGTTACTGTCATACTCTATATAGGTGAATGGGACCTGGATAAACACACACACTGCTGTTAGAATCATATTCTATACAGGTGAACGAGATTTGGAACACACAAGGTATGACATACCAAACCTGAGTGCAGATACCATTATTCTAGAGCAGTGGTTCCCGACCAGGGGTACTAAGACCCCTGGGGGTACTTGGCCTATTCACAGGGAGTATTTCAGATGGCTCATGAGACCTAATGGTAAAACGCACATGAAGTGGTACTTCAGGGGTACTCCAGGCAGAGCAAAATTCAGTTGGTGGTACAGTAACCGAAAAGGGTTGGGAACCACTGTTCTAGAGTGTTCTACTCACCAGACTGATGGCAAACATAGAGACAGCAGCAGCACCAAACACCGTCCACTGGACTGTACCCAAAAACCTCTTGAAGAACCCCTCCACACACGCACACCTACAGAACACACACCTGTAAATACACACACAAAGCAGTATCCCAAAGCCTCCTGAAGAAACACTACACACACACACACACCTAGACAACACACAGAACCTGAACCTAACAGACCACTTTCCCAGAGAGGTGTGTGTTACCTGAACATGGCAGAGACTAGTTCCCAGGTGAGAGACAGTACTCCCAGCCACACCGAGGGGAAGGTGACAGTCTTCAGGAACTGGTTAAACTGGTGGAAGGTAAACGCTGAGGAGACAACCAGCAATAACGGTCAAAACACTGACTATCTACTACAGCTGATAACTGACACACGCACGCACACCTGTCCTGGAGGAGACAGTCCCCTTGTCCCAGTTGATCTGCAGGTCAAACAATGTGACCGTTCCAAAGCCAATTAGAGCCCAGACTGCGATCTCCACCACAAACCCTGCCCACCACCACAACGAGGAACCTGATTGGAGCAGAGACAGAACCAGGGTGTACATGTCACTTCCTGCCTACAGTAACTGACTGACTGTCCTCAATGCAAATTACCTACACAGTGTGTATGTGTCGGAGTGTGTGTACCTCGGTTAGGGGTAGGAGTGTATTTCTTGCGTAGCCAGAAATATATATGCTGGTCGTCGAGCAGAGACAGACACATTGTCAGAGTCAGGAGGTTGAAGAAGTTATAGTTCCCAGACAGGATGATCAGCACCTGCAGTAACACCTAAATACCACAGGGGGAGACAGAGAAAAACCTGCACTAACACCTAACTGCCAGAGGGGGGGGGGGGGGGGAACCAAGATCAAGTCCAACAAACCATCTCTACGCTAGTGTCCCCAAACTGTTGATGACAAAATGCTACAACATACACACACAGTTAATCTGACCTGCATGTAGAAGGCCCCGAGACGAAGTCGTCGTAGAGGACTGAGGAAGAGGAAGGGAGCAGCGATCTCAATGACGAAGGTGGCTACCACAGACAGCTTATGCCACCAGACGGGCAGCTGGTGGGCAAACCAAGCCAAGGGTGTAGGGATACACTGGGTCTCATAGTGATATGTCAGCGCTAGAGACACACACACCACCACATGTTAGAGGCACACATACACAGGCTAGGGGTGTAGCGCTACACAGGGCCTCAGTGATACAGTGCCTTTGGAAAGTATTCAGACACTGTTACTTTTTCCAAATTGTCTTACTTTACAGACTTATTCTAAAATGGATTAAATAAAACAATTTCCTCAGCACAATACACAATACCCCATTATGACAAAGCGAAAACAGGTTTTAGAAATGTTTGCAAATTTATTAAAATAAAAAAACAGAAATACCCCATTTACATAAGTATTCAGACTCTTTGCTATGAGACTCGAAATTGAGCTCACGTGCATCCTGTTTCCATTGATCATCCTTGAGATGTTTCTACAACTTGATTGGAGTCCACCTGTGGTAAATTCAATTGATTGGACATGATTTGGAAAGGCACACACCTGTCTATATAAGGTCCCACAGTTGACAGTGCATGTCAGAACAAAAACCAAGCCATGAGGTCGAAGGAGTTGTCCGTAGAGCTCAGAGACAGGATTGTGTCGAGGCACAGATCTGGGGAAGGGTACCAAAAAATGTCTGCAGCATTAAAAGGTGCCCAAGAACACAGTGGCAACCATCATTAAATGGAAGAAGTTTGGAACCACAGACACCCTTCCTAGAGCTGGCTGCCCAGCCAAACTGAGCAATCGGGGGAGAAGGGCCTTGGTCAGGGAGGTGAACAAGAACCCAATGGTCACTCTGACAGAGCTCTAGAGTTCCTCTGTGGAGATGGGAGAACCATCCAGAAGGACAACCATCTCTGCAGCATTCCACCAATCAGGCCTTTATGGTAGAGTGGCCAAACAGAAGCCAACCTTCAATAAAAGGCACATGACAGCCCGCTTGGAGTTTGCCAAAAGGCACCTAAATACTCTCATACCATGAGAAACAAGATTCTCTGGTCTGATTAAACCAAGACTCAACTCTTTGGCATGAATGCCAAGCATCACGTCTGGAGGAAACCTGGCACCATCCCTACGGTGAAGCATTGTGGTGGCAGCATCATGCTGTGGGGATGTGGCAGGGATCATGCAGCATCATGCTGTTTTTCAGCAGCAGGGACTGGGAGACTAGTCAGGATAGAGGCAAAGATGAACGGAGCAAGTACAGAGAGATCCTTGATGAAAACCTGCTCCAGAGCGCTCAGGACCTCAGACTGGGGTGAAGGTTCACCTTCCAACAGGACAACGACCTTTAGCACAGAGCCAAGAAAATGCAGGAGTGGCTTCGGGACAAGTCTCCAAATGTCCTTGAGTGGCCCAGCCAGAGCCCGGACTTGAACCTGATCGAACATCTCTGGAGAGACCTGAAAATAGCTGTGCAGCAATGCTCCCCATCCAACCTGAAGGGGCTTGAGAGGATCTGCAGAGAAGAATAGGAGAAACTCCCCAAATACAGGTGTGCCAAGCTTGTAGCGTCATACCCAAGAAGACTCGATGCTGTAATCGCTGCCAACGGTGCTTCAATAAAGTACTGAGTAAAGGGTCTGAATACTTATGTACATTTGATATTTCAGTTTATTATTTGTAATAAAGTTAGCAAACATTTCTAAAAACCTGTTTTAGCTTTGTCATTATGGGGTATTGTGTGTAGACTGATGAGGGGGAAAAAACAATGTAATCAATTTTAGAATAAGGCTGTAGCGTAACAAAATGTGGAAAATGTCAAGGGGTCTGAATACTTTCCGAAGGCACTGTATGTCAGGGCTCGAGAGAGATATACACATGTTACACACGCACAGGCCAGAGACGTAGCGATACACTGGGTCTCTGTGGTACATCAGGGAGAGAGAAAGACGCTCAGAAACAGCAGTCTCAGTGGCAGTAAGATGTCTGATGAGTTAGGTGACCTGCCTGAGCAATTATGCAACACACACACACAGCTACCTGTGAGGCCCCACCAGGTAGGGCAGCGGGAGGTGAGTTTGACGACTCCGGAGGCGAACATCAGTCTGAACAGCAGCCAGCGGGCCAACCAGAAGGTCACAGGGTCGTGCTCCCTGCCCGCCCGCCACCCACCCAAAGACGTCACCGGGGCGATGAGCACACACAGGAACCCAGTCTCCAGGAGAAGAGAGTCCCTGGATACCATCGCAGAGAAAGGGAAGGGAGGAGAAGGGGAGGGAGAATGAGCAAGGTGGAGAGAGTGTTAGGACCCAGAGACTGAGCATGCCCAGACAGGGCTGCTGTTGTTGTAGTGTTTTCATCATGATGTTACTATGGTAATGTTGTTATCAATGTGTTATAGTGTTTATAAACTGCCACCTGGCGGGTGCAGTTGCACAGCAGCAGGAGCACCAATCACACATACACATCAGCTGACTGCCAAAACTACTCAGTCTCATACACACACTAACAGCAGTACTGGGGTGTTAATTAACATGCAACTTCAGGGTGGCATTCACTCTGGGCGTGGCACACACACAACTCACCACTGGAAGTAGAGGAAGACCTGTCCCACCTGGAACAACAGGCAGAGTCAGAGATCTGGCGTACTGTATACTGGCTCCCGCTACAGCAGTGTGTATATGTGTGTGTGTGTGTGTGTGTAGTATAACTGACCTGGTACATTGACAGGTATATGATCCAGAGAAATAGAAACACCAGGCTGTCTCTGAGTGATTCCAGTAGTGAAGCAGCCAGGCTCAGGGCTGCCCCCAGCAGGCAGAGCAGCTCCATGGCAGTCTGGGTGTCAAGACCTAGAATACAGTTCACACTGTTAGATTGTATTTGATTTATGAATCAAATTATCAGTTGGTCACAACACATTGATAAAATGTTGTTTAGGAACTCACCCAGACGTGGTGCGAGCCACAGTAAGGTGGGAGAGGAGAGGAGCTGTTCCCAGAGAGCCTTACCACTGTACCGCAGCTGCCATCGCGCTGGTAACAGGCCATCATTTCCATACAGGCCTGGAAAACACACACACCTTGTCAACAGGGAGAATAAGTAACTTGTCCTGAAGGTTTACTTTAGGATGGAGTTCCATAGGAGAACCCCTACTAGGCCTAAGGTTGTGAGACTGTCAGTTGAACACCTAGGTAAAATGTGTTTTATATTGGATATTCGGTTCTCTCTCCTCAATAGCTATTGAACCAAGCATGCCATGACTATGAAGATGGTACACTACAAAGTATGTGGACACCTGCTCTTCGAAAATATCATTCCAAAATCAGGGGCATTAATATGGAGTTGATCCCCCCTTTGCAGCTATAACAGCCCCCACTCCTCTGGGAAGGCTTTCCACTAGATGTTGGAACATTGCAGCGAGGACTTGCTTCCATTCAGCCACAAGAGCATTAGTGAGGTCGGACATTGATGTTGGGCAATGGCAGGGAGCTTTACGCCCCTCCAGCCAACGCTTGCCATTGTGCATGGTGATCTTAGGCGTGTGTGTGGCTGCTTGGCCATGGAAACCCATTTCATTAAGCTCTCGACAAACAGTTATTGTGCTGACGTTGCTTCAAGAGGCAGTTTGGATCTCTGTAGTGAGTGTTACAACCGAGGACAGACGATTTTTACGCGCTACGTGCTTCAGCACTCAGCGGTCCCATTCTGTGAGCTTGTGTGGCCTACCACGTCGCAGCTGAGCAGTTGTTGCTCCTAGACGTTTCCACGTCACAATAATAGCACTTACAGTTGACCTGGGCAGCTCCTATGACTGTGCCACGTTGAAAGTCACTGAGCTCTTCAGTATGGGCCATTCTACTGCCAATGTTTGTCTATGGAGATTGCATGGTTGTGTGCTCGATTTTATACACCTGTCAGCAACGCGTGTGGCTGAAATAGCCGAATCCACTAATTTGAAGTGGTGTCCACATACTTTTGGCCATGTAGTGTATATTCTGAATCAGGGGTGGATGGAGAAGTATCCACACAATTTTTGTTTTTAGAATAAGATCTGGGATTTCAATCTTCAATAGCTCTTACACAAAGCGTGCCATGGTTAGTGGTTAAGAGCGTTGTGCCAGTAAACGAAAGGTCGCTGGTTCAAATCCCAGAGCCAACTAGGTGAAAAATCTGTCAATGTGCCCTTGAGCAAGGCACTTAACCCTAATTGCTCCTGTAAGTCGCTCTGGATAAGAGCGTCTGCTAAATGACTAAAATATAAATGTAAATGTATGAAAATGATATATTCAGAATCTGGGGAGGATGGAGAAAAATCCACAGCTCATAATTTTTTTTTGCTTTCAATCTGCATACTTTCAAGAATGATAATTACTACTACAACTATCAAGAGGGTAAAGATACCTCACGAAATGTATTTGCCTCTCGTCGTGGTGTACATTCCTCTCATGCGGTCTGTGTGTATCTGTCGGGGGAACAGGCAAAATTGATTCTTCCTCTTCTATGGATGTTTTATTAAGGTTGGAAACAAACCTTAAGGTGCATTACCACCACCAACTCGACTGGAGTGTGGACCAGAGACAGGGAAGGTGTAAATCCTACTCATTATTCTCGAAAGATAAATACATAATTAAATACTACATCCCCTGAAGATTTAGCAGTTAATTTAAGCTCTTCAACACTATTACTCCTTAAACCAGGGCGGCAGGTAGCTTAGTGGTTAAGAGCGTTGTGCCAGTAACCGAAAGGTCGCTGGTTCTAATCCCCAAGCCGACTAGGTGAAAAATCTGTCGATGTGCCCTTGAGCAAGGCACTTAACCCTAATTGCTCCTGTAAGTCGCTCTGGATAAGAGCGTCTGCTAAATAACCAATTATTATTATTATTATTAAATCAAAATAACAATTTCTCCCCTTCCCTCCAATATTGCTGGCACTGAAATAGAATGTGTCCCACTCAATGATTTATATATATACACACATTTTTGGGCGCTTTTTTGTCCATCCGCCCCAGATTCAAAATATATAACTTTCATAGTCATGGCACACTTTGTGTGAGAGCTATTGAAGATTGAAACCCCTCCTCCCTCCAAAATATCAAGAACAAAAAATGTGGATTTTTGTCCATCCTCCCCCAATTCAGAATATATCATTTTAGTCATGGAACACTGTGTGTAAGAGCAATTTTAGAATGAAATCCTAAATCGTATTATTAAAAAAATAAAAAATTAGAATATCTACCAAAAATCCAATATGAAACTAATTTATCTTGGTCAGGCAGGTTAAAACGCTCTCAAAGGAAATGACTTATAAATAGATGTGACCCGTGTCTTGAGACAGAAAGAAGTCAGGTTAAGTATGAATAAAATGTAATTTGTGTCTACCATTATCTGGCTAAAAATACTTTGCCAAACTAGCTAGCAACTGAAACAGAGTAACAAGTTGCTTAACTATCTCGATAGCTAGCTACAGGGGATGCAAAGCAATGCAAAAAAGCAATGCTTAAAAAGTTATGAAACTTTAAATACGCTTGATGACTTCAATTACTGTGCACTGCGCTGAAAGTTGAGTACAATGCTATAGGTAGCTAGCTAGCTAGTTGGCTAACAGCTGCTAGCATACCATAACAACCATAACTGGCAAGAAAGCTATCATAGCTAGCTAAATGGGACAGCTAGCTAGATATCTCACCTGGTATCTGCAGGTAGAGGGAGACGAAGGCGACCATGTAGATGAGAGCCATGCACCAAAGGAACAGGCGGCGTGGCAGAGTGATGTAGCCCATGCCTGCTCTGTGTGGAGGCCCTTCCTGGGATCTTTCCTCTATCTCCTTCTGCAGGGCCCGACAGTAGTCTACTGTAGCGGGACGGAAGTCGGAGTGAGATTTTCACATGACCTGGAGAGTGAGACACGTCCCTATCCGTGGATGAGAATGTTGAAGTTGGGGTAAAGGCGGGGTCATGGATTCCTATCAATGATTTATATATATACTAGACTTCCCGGTAGCGCTGTTTTGAAGCCACTGCACCTCCATCTTATCTTGGCACTCTCACCATTGTAAAACATATTTTGGAAGCTATAGAAATGCATTTAATGTCTAAATATGTGCCACATTTTTTACTATTACAGACACCTTAATATACTTTTAAAATATGTTATGTGAGATAAACATAATATATATATATATATATATATATATATATATATATATATATAATGGTTTTTCTCAAAGTATAATTTTTTGAAAGTACTAATGTTACTGTCCCCACTACACCAGAAACAATACATGTAATTCTGTCCTTGAAATATTTAATTGAAATTTAATTGAATTCCATTCATTTCTATGAAGGACTGCTTCTTCTGGGGAGTGCCAATATGGCTGATCCGTTGGCTTCAAAGTCTCTCATTGGCCAATACATAGCATCAGCGCTCATTGGCCAATACATAGCATCAGCGATCCAGGGTTTATATACATCATTGGTTCCCACTAGATGGGATACAGCGTAGTCAAAATTAGCTATATCGTCAACATTTATGATAACAAAAAACGTTTTGGTCTTAATTTAGGGTTAAGTATTAGGTTCACAGTGTGTTAAAGGTTAGCGTCAGGATTACATTTAAGAAGATAAATTGTATAAATAGGCAGGGTTTATGACTTTGCCACTTGTCCAGATAGTGAGGACCAGATGGTTTGGGGAACCCTGCCAGCATGGCCACTTCAAGCCACACCCACCAAATGAGAGCAAACGTACCCTCAAAGTCTGTTCAATAACGTTTTGGGGTAACGTGTCGTTCAGTACAAACCGTTCCGCAACGTAGAAAACGTTTAAGCGAACTGAATGCACCTCTGCGTAACTTGTCTTTCCCTGTTGTGTACAAATTAATCACAATTTCAAAGCAATCTGATCTGCTTTGACATCAAAATGCTTTCAGTAAAACCCATTTATTACAGGAGGTAATTGAGAGACAAAACCAGGCACTGGCAGGCTGTTTTTCACTGTAGTTCCGTTTATTGTGCAGGACTGTTTATCTCAGGCAACAAGCAGACAGAGTCATGGCAATAATAGATACATGCTGCTAGACACTAAGCAACACTATGTATGTATTTACATTCAAGTCTTACAGAGAAAGAGAGACCGGTTGTATTCATTAACAGTAGAACGTACCACCGTATCCTTACTTCTTACACAATGAATCAAACTTCCAGGACTTCATTAGACATGCAAAATTAGACTCCACTAATATACTTATGTTATAAAAATACTAAAATCAGATTTGAGGACATTTACACAAATAAAAGTTGTGGCACCTAGACTATGAACAAAAAGAGGTCATCGCAATACGTTTGTTTTCCAGCATTTACATGATTGTTAAAGACAGGAGAGTTCAGTAGTATGGAGACCGGTGAGGCCGCAGTCAGGACAGCCAAGAGTGTGGCAGGAGGCTGTCCACAGGGTGGGTGTATGTTTGTGTGCATGTTGGCCAAAAGCATCGTCCGACAGTGACAGACAATTAAACGCAATTTAGTTCTCTCTACCATGGCCATCTACAGTAGTGGCTACCCTGTACTGCAGGGGTCCCCAATTACATGAAGTCGTGGGCCTATTTTTCCTTGAGCGGATGGTCGGTGGGCCGGAACATACAGTACCAGTCAAAAGTTTGGACACACCAACTCATTCCAGGGTTTTTCTTTATTTTTACTATTTTCTACATTGTAGAATAATAGTGAAGACATCAAAACTATGAAACAACACAAGAAAGTGTTAAACAAATCAAAACATATTCTATATTTTAGATTCTTCAAAGTAGCCACCCTTTGCCTTGATAACAGCTTTGCACACTCTTGGCATTCTCTCAACCAGCTACATGAGGTAGTCACCTGGAATGCATTTCAATTAACAGGTGTGCCTTGTTTAAAGTTAATTTGTGGAATTTCTTTCCTTCTTAACGCGTTTGAGCCAATCAGTTCTCTTGTGACAAGGTAGGGGTGGTGTACAGAAGATAGCCCTATTTGGTAAATGACCAAGTCCATATTATGGCAAGAACAGCACAAATAAGCAAAAATAAACAACAATCCATCATTACTTTAAGACATGAAGGTCAGTCAAGCCGGACATTTTCAAGAACTTTGAAAGTTTCTTCAATTGCAGTGGCAAAAACCATCAAGCGCTATGATGAAACTGGCTCTCATGATGACTGCCACAGGAAAGGAAGACCCAGAGTTACCTCTGCTGCAGAGGATAAGTTCATTAGAGTTACCAGCCTCAGAAATTGCAGCTCAAATAAATGCTTCACAGAGTTCAAGTAACAGACACATCTCAACATCAACTGTTCAGAGGAGACTGCGTGAATCAGGCCTCCATTTAAAAAAAAATATTTTACCTTTATTTAACTAGGCAAGTCAGTTAAGAACAAATTCTTATGTACAATGACAGCCTACACCGGCCAAACCCGGACGACGCTGGGCCAATTGTGCGCCGCCCTATGGGACTCCCAATCACGGCCGGTTGTGATACAGCCTGGAATCGAACCAGGGGGTCTGTAGTGACGCCTCAAGCACTGAGATGCAGTGCCTTAGACCACTGCGCCACTCGGGTCGAATTGCTGCAAAGAAACCACTACTAAAGGACACCAATAAGAATAAGAGACTTGCTTGGGCCAAGAAACACGAGCAATGGACATTAGACCGGTGGAAATCTGTCCTTTGGTCTGATGAGTCCAAATTTGAGGTTTTTGGTTCCAACCGCTGTGTCTTTGTGAGACGCAGAATCTGTGAACGCATGTGTGGTTCCCACCGTGAAGCATGGAGGAGGAGGTGTGATGGTGTGGGGGTGCTTTGCTGGTGACACTATCTGTGATTTATTTAGAATTCAAGGCACACTTAACCAGCATGGCTACCACAGCATTCTTCAGCGATACGCCATCCCATCTGGTTTGCGCTTAGTGGGACTATCATTTGTTTTTCAACAGGACAATGGCCCAAAACACACCTTCAGGCTGTGTAATGGCTATTTGACCAAGAAGGAGAGTGATGCAGTGTTTCATCAGATGACCTGGCCTCCACAATCACCCAACCTCAACCCAATTCAGATGGTTTGGGATGAGTTGGACCGCAGAGTGAAGGAAAAGCAGCCAACAAGTGCTCAGCATATGTGGGAACTCCTTCAAGACTGTTGGAAAAGCATTCCTCAAGAAGCTGGTTGAGAGAATGCCAAGAGTGTGCAAAGCTGTCATCAAGGCAAAGAGTGGCTACTTTGAATTTGTTTAACACTTTTTTGGTTACTACATGATTCCATGTGTTATTTCAGTTTTTATTTTTTTTATTTTTGTCATTTAGCAGACACTCTTATCCAGAGCGACTTACAGTTAGTGAGTGCATACATTTTTTTTTAAATCATACTATTAAAATGTAGAAAATAGTAAAAATAAAGAAAAACCTTTGAATGAGTAGGTGTGTCCAAACTTTTGACTGGTACTGTAGTTATAAATAATCTGTACACTGTAAATTGGCCGCAAGAATCCCAAACAGATATAGTATTTAACAAAAACAGAACAATTTCACACCTTGATTAAATTAGGATACGATCACATAAGCCTATAGCTATGTGTGGGAATACTTGGGAACAGATTTCCTAAATTGGCGAGGAATCAGTCTTTTAGCTGCCTAAAGCTTCACCTTGTATTGGAATGTCTATTATATCACCAACAGACAGACAGAGACATGACAGGATGCCTCTAAATGGCTTATGTAGAGCGCCTTAATGGACAATTAAGAGACTATTTCTCCATCACCTAGTCTGTTTATAGCAGACATAAATCACAATTATTTGGATGGCTAGACTGAAGTGTGTGTGGGTGAGCGTGTCATGTGGTCCCGTCGGCCCCAGTCGTGCTGGCCTGTCCGCTAGTCATCAGAGGGGGTATGGCCTCCTGGTCTGATTCTCTGACGAAGACGACAGCATCACCACTAACGTTAATCAGACACTGAGCCTGGAGAGAGACAGAGAGAAACGAGAGAGAGAGAGAGAGCGAGAAGGGTGAGATAGAAAGAGAGGACAGACATGAGGGTCTGTAGCCCTTTCCACTCACAGCCCGTCATCCTGTACACGGGTTGAAAATGGCAGATTTTGACATTGATAAGCGCCTAAATTGGAACACAGTGGCTACAGTAACATGCTATACATGACATCAGAGCTCCAGTTCTCCACTTCACAGCGCTGTATGGACTTTGACTGACAGCCTTTATAAACTTGAGCACCACGCGCGACAAAAAGATGCCCCCATCCCTCCTGCTAATTGAGCTACTTTTGCACATTTGTTGTCTGAGTGAGGGAAATGCTGTAAATCGAGAGGAGTCGATGTATTCTAAATTATGACATGTTGAGGAATATAATAAATACCGCTTTGATGTCATGCAAGCAAACCACACACCAGTGCACTTCACATTTCCATATTTGAAAACTCATGTCATTTACAGAATCAACGTTTATGATCGCTATGTTTGATCCAGTTACAAGGAAAACATGCGTTATACCCTGTGTTGTCCTGAACAGAATGACCCTATGTTTGTTATATTGTGAAGAAAATTTGCAGCGGAACACGCACTTGAATGCATTCATGACGCCATTCTATGCGCAACAAAATTACAATCTGTTTGTCTGAAGTGCCTTTTGAAAGCCTAACACTGTGAGATTCTATTTTAGAACTTAGCTAGCCATGTTGGCAATAGAATAAGCTTTCAAATGATGCCCACCTGACCCAGATTGCAATTTATAACAGAATATTTTTGGATTGCGTAAACATCGTAATTGTGTGATGGTGAGGACGCAGTGCTGTGTTCCAAACAAAAAACTACAAGTGTGCTTGCTTCAGTTCCTCAATGTCAAAGCTAGGAGAGCAAAAAAAAAAAAAAAAAAAAAGTACCTTATAGTTGAAGGCTCTTTCCTTGTGTCATAAAAGTGCATTGAAATTACTTAGAAACTGTGCACACTTTGGAGAGGTGTGTGGCCACTTTGAGACAAACCCCAGTTACACCTCTCACTCAAACCCTTCTAATCTTTTTTTCTTATCTTGCACCTACTCCAACATTTCAATGAATATTCTTATTGTTACTGAATGAATCCAGAGTATTTTCAGATTTCGTTATTGACAAATGCTGTGAAAAGTACAGTAAATGAAAAATGCACATAAAATCAACAGTGTAGTGTTTGGATTCAGTCTTGTGTCAGGTGAAATGATGTGTCTTCACCTTTGGTCTGATAATTTCCACATAATCTCCGAAGTGTTCTCTTTCAATTGCTACCATGGTCATGCCTATCAAATCAAATCAAATCACATTTTATTTGTTACATGTGCCGATTACAACAGGTGTAGACCTTACAGTGAAATGCTTACTTACAAGCCCTTAACCAACAATTCAGTTTTAAGAAAGAATACCCTAAAGAAATACAAGTAACAAATAATTAAAGAGCAGCAGTATTTGTATTTATATTTATTATGGATCCCCATTAGCTGCTGCTGCTGCTCTTCCTGGGGTCCAGCAAAATTAAGGCAGTTATACATTTAAAAAAACAATACATTCATAACAGATTTCACAGCACACTAAGTGTGTGCCCTCAGGCCCCTACTCCACTACCACATATCTACAACACAAAATCCATGTGTATGTGTGTGTATAGAGCGTATGTTATCGTGTGTGTATGCATGTGTCTGTGCCTATGTTTGTGTTGCTTCACAGTCCCCGCTGTTCCATAAGGTGTATTTTTATCTGTTTTCTAAATCTGATTCTACTGCTTGCATAAGTTACCTGATGTGGAATAGAGTTCCATGTAGTCATGGCTCTATGTAGTACTGTGCGCCTCCCATAGTCTGTTCTGGACTTGGGGACTGTGAAGAGACCTCTGGTGGCATGTCTTGTGGGGTATGCATGGGTGTCTGAGCTGTGTGCCAGTCGTTCAAACAGACAGCTAGGTGCTTTCAACATGTCAACACCTCTCACAAACACAAGCAGTGATGAAGTCAATCTCTCCTCCACTTTGAGCCAGGAGAGATTGACATGCATATTATTAATGTTTGCTCTCTGTGTACATCCAAGGGCCAGCCGTGCTGCCCTGTTTTGAGCCAATTGCAATTTTCCTAAGTCCCTCTTTGTGGCACCTGACCACACGACTGAACAGTAATTCAGGTGCGATAAAACTAGAGCCTATAGGACCTGCCTTGTTGATAGTGCTGTTAAGAAGGTAGAGCAACGCTTTATATGGACAGACTTCTCCCCATCTTAGCTACTGTTGTATCAATATGTTTTGACCATGACAGTTTACAATCCAGGGTTACTCCAAGCAGTTTAGTCACCTCAACTTGTTATTTATTACAAGATTTAATTGAGGTTTGGAGTTTAGTGAATGATTTGTTCCAAATACAATGCTTTTAGTTTTAGAAATATTTAGGACTAACTTATTCCTTGCCACCAACTCTGAAACTAACTGAAACTCTTTGTTAAGTGTTGCAGTCATTTCAGTCGCTGTAGTAGCTGACATGTATAGTGTTGAGTGATCCGCATACATAGACACTCTGGCTTTACTCAAAGCAAGTGGCATGTCATTTGTAAAGACAGAAAACATTTAAATGGGCCTAGACAGCTTCCCTGGGGAATTCCTGATTCTACCTGGATTATGTTGGAGAGGCTTCCATTAAAGAACACCCTCTGTGTTCTGTTAGACAGGTACAGTGGGGGAAAAAAGTATTTACCGTATTTTCCGCACTATAAGGCGCACCGGATTATAAGGCGCACCTTCAATGAATGGCCTATTTTAGAACTGTTTTCATATATAGGGCGCACCGGATTATAAGGCGCATAGAATAGAAGATACTGTAGTCAAACGAATTGACTGGGGTTGCGTTATGCATCCACTAGATGGAGCTGTGCTAAAAGGAATGTCAACAAAACAGTCAGATAAAGTCAAACTTTATTAAGCGTTCTGACAACTCCGTTCACTCCCATGGTAATGTTGTTCAAACGTTAATGTGCATATTAACAATATCTCCCAGCCTTGCTCACTCTTCTCCCAAACGTGGAGGGGAACCTTTCCCTGATTCAGTAAACACGTAGTAAAAGAAACAGTCTGATACCACTAAATCAAACGTTAGTGCATAACTCAACATTGTTCAGTTACATATAACACGTAAAGCTCACTTTTTCAGTTCATTCCCCATCCACGAACCCCTCGAATTCTTCTTCTTCAGTGTCCGAATTGAACAGTTGGGCGACTACGGCATCCAACCTGCCCGGCTCCCTCTCGTCATTATCCGAGTCAGTGTCGCTGCTGTTGCCTGGCAGTTCAGAGATTATTCCTGCCTTCGTGAAAGCTTTGACCACAGTTGAGACCGATATATCAGCCCAGGCATCCACGATCCATTGGCAGATAGTGGCGTAAGTCGCCCGGCGCTGTCTCCCCGTCTTGGTGAACGTGTGTTCGCCTTCTGTCATCCACTGCTCCCACGCAGCTCGCAGTCTAGCTTTGAACGCCCTGTTGACACCAATATCTAGCGGCTGGAGTTCTTTAGTTAATCCACCCGGAATGACGGCAAGCTCCGAATTAGTTTGCTTCACTTGTTTTTTGACAGCATCGGTGATATGGGCGCGCATTGAGTCGTAGATCAATAGGGACGGAGCTGTGTGGAAAAAGCCACCCGGTCTCTTGACGTACATTTCTCTCAGCCACTCACTCATCTTTTCCTCATCCATCCATCCCTTCGGGCTAGTTTTGATGACGACGCCGGCTGGAAAGTTCTCTTTTGGCAAGGTCTTCCTCTTGAAAATAATAATGGGTGGAAGTTTCTGGCCATTAGCCTGGCAGGCGAGAACTACAGTGAAGGATGACTTCTCATTCCCTGTGGTACGTACAGACACCGTACTGGTCCCCGTTTTCTCCACAGTGCGGTTCACGGGAATATCAAAGGTGAGTGGAACCTCGTCCATGTTGGTGATGTGCTCTGGCCGGATCTTCTTTTCAGTGATCTTCTTTTTGCAGTATGCGCGGAAAGTGACCAGCTTTTCTTGGTAATCTTTTGGCAGTTGCTGCGAGACGGTAGTTCGTGTGCGGATGGAGAGATTACGTCTTTTCATAAAACGAAAGCACCAAGAAGGACCGCCTCGAAATTCATCGATTGTCATGTCCCGTGCTAGCGCTGTTGCCTTCATTCGAATAGTGACTGTAGAGACGCTTCTACTTGCTGCTCTCTGTTCAACAACCCACTGTTCGAGTTTGTCCTCTAACTGTGGCCATCTCGCTTTGTTCCCGCGGAAACTCTGTTTAGTCTTCTTTACTTGGCGCAGGTCATCTTCTTGCTTCCTCCACTTCCGTACCATTGATTCATTAATGTTGAATTCTCTCGCTGCTGCTCTATTCACATATTCTACTGCATGACCGACAGCCTTGAGCTTGAACTCTGCGTCGTAAGCGTGTCTCTTGAAAGGTGCCATTTTGGGGTCTTTATACACACACAAGTGGTGTGGGACTGTGAGTAAGCACAATACCGGTGTGTACTGGCTACCGTAATGCTGCAAGTGGTGCGGCTTTGTAGTTTACCAGTCGTACTGAAACATTTCATTATTATTAAATTGTTTTTATTGGTTTTTCATACTGAAACATTTTGACAGAGCACCTTGAGCGCCGTGTACAACCAGTATGGATCAACCAATTAACCAATTGATCCATATATAAGGCGCTCCGGATTATAAGGCGCACTGTCGTTTTTTGAGAAAATTAAAGGCTTTTAAGTGCGCCTTATAGTGCGGAAAATACGGTAGTCAGCCACCAATTGTGCAAGTTCTCCCACTTAAAATGATGAGAGAGGCCTGTAATTTTCATCATAGGTGCACATCAACTATGACAGACAAAATGAGCATTTTCTTTCCAGAAAATCACATTGTAGGATTTTTATTGAATTTATTTGCAAATTATGGTGGAAAATAAGTATTTGGTCAATAACAAAAGTTTCTCAATACTTTGTTATATACCCTTTGTTGGCAATGAAAGGAGAGGTTCTTCTTTGTCTGAAAGCAATGGCTAGCTAGTTTGCTAACTATTCTAGCTAGCTAACTAACTAGCTATCAGCAACGGTATAGTTGTTTCACGCCTGAGAGTGCCTGTAATTACGCCAGCTGGCTGCCTACAATATAATCACATACAATAATTGCCTACCATTCAGCTGTTTTCTAACCTCATTGTCTGAACCGTTAACATTAGGTAGCAAGTGGCTACTGTGCTTGAAAATTAGCAAGCTTGTTGCAACCTGGATAGCTACTTGTAAACAATAGCTGGAACGACCGAGTGAACAGACGCGAACTGGCTGAGCCAATTCAGTGGCTAGCTTTGCACTTGGCTAGCTAATAGTAGCTGCTAGGGGTAAGTCATAACCTACACTTGTGTTTTTCTTTTTTCATATTGATAGCCCGAGTCGCTCAAGGAATTCGGGACATGGGTGACTAGCTAACGTTAGTTTGGCTCTCTCTGTGTGTTCGTGCCGTGTGTTATGACGAGGTGCCCGGACGTTTTTCACGGAATAATACTGCACCTAGTTAGCTAGCTGAATAAACTAGGTTAGTCTATTCCTAGAAAACATTGAACCGCTGTAGTTTACAACAATTATAGTTTCGGAGGTGGAAGTTGGGAGAGTTATATTTGGGAGTTGTGGCTCTCTCCTTTCCCAGATGTCTAGTTCATTTTATTCCGATCTCCTCTGCATTATTGTAGCCATCTGCTGCAATGAAGTCATGCCTCTGCCTATCCCTGTTCTCTCCTCTCCGCACAGGCTACACAAACGCCTCACACCGCGTGGCTGCTGCCTCTCTAATCTGATGGTCCCTACACGCACCACACACCTGGAGTTCCAGGTCTCAGGCAGCCTCTGGAACTGCCGTTCTGCTGCCAACAAGGCTGACTTCATCCCAGCCTATGCTACCCTCCAGTCCCTCGACTTCCTGGCGCTGACGGAAACATGGATTACCACTGAAAACACTGCTACTCCTACTGCTCTCTCCTCGTCTGACCATGTGTTCTCGCATACCCCGAGAGCATCTGGTCAGAGGGGTGGTGGCACAGGAATCCTCATCTCTCCCAAGTGGACATTCTCAATTTTTCCCCTAACCCATCTGTCTATCTCCTCATTTGAATTCCATGCTGTCACAGTCACTAGCCCATTTAAGCTTAATATCCTTGTCATCTATCGCCCTCCAGGTTCCCTTGGAGAGTTCATCAATGAGCTTGACGCCTTGATAAGTTCCTTTCCTGAGGATGGCTCACCCCTCACAGTTTTGGGGGATTTCAACCTCCCTACGTCTACATTTGACTCATTTCTCTCTGCCTCCTTCTTTCCACTCCTCTCCTCTTTTGACCTCACCCTCTCACCGTCCCCCCCTACTCACAAGGCAGGCAATACGCTTGACCTCATCTTTACTAGATGCTGCTCTTCTACTAATCTCACTGCAACTCCCCTCCATGTCTCCGACCACTACTTTGTATCCATTTCTCTCTCGCTCTCCTCCAACACTACTCACTCTGCCCCTACACAGATGGTAATGCGCCGCCGCAACCTTCGCTCTCTCTCTCCCACTACTCTCTCCTCTTCCATCCTATCATCTCTTCCCTCTGCTCAATCCTTCTCCCTCCAATCTCCTGATTCTGCCTCCTCAACCCTCCTCTCCTCCCTTTCTGCATCCTTTGACTCTCTGTGTCCCCTATCCTCCCGGCCGGCTCGGTCCTCCCCTCCAGCTCCGTGGCTTGATGACTCATTGCGAGCTCACAGAACAGAGCTCCGGGCAGCGGAGCGGAAATGGAAGAAAACTAAACTCCCTGCCGACCTGGCATCTTTTCACTCCCTCCTCTCTACATTTTCTTCATCTGTTTATGCTGCTAAGGCTACTTTCTACCACTCTAAATTCCAAGCATCTGCCTCTAACCCTAGGAAGCTCTTTGCCACATTCTCCTCCCTGCTGAATTCCCCCCCCCCCCCCCCCCCCCCTCCTCTCTCTCTGTGGATGACTTCGTCAACCACTTTGAAAAGAAGGTTGACGATATCCGATCTTCGTTTGTTAAGTCTAATGACACTGCTGGTCCTGCTCACACTGCCCTACCCTATGCTTTGACTTCTTTCTCCCCTCTCTCTCCAGATAAAATCTTGCGACTTGTGACTGCAGGCCGCCCAACAACCTGCCCGCTTGACCCCATCCCCTCCTCTCTTCTCCAGACCATCTCCGGTGACCTTCTCCCCTACCTCACCTCGCTAATCAACTCATCCTTGACCGCTGGCTATGTCCCTTCCGTCTTCAAGAGAGCGAGAGTTGCACCCCTTCTCAAAAAACCAACACTCGATCCCACTGATGTCAACAACTACAGACCAGTATCCCTTCTTTCTTTTCTTTCCAAAACTATTGAGCGTGCCGTCTTTAGCCAACTCTCTTGCTATCTCTCTCAGAATGACCTTCTTGATCCAAACCAGTCAGGTTTCAGGACTGGTCATTCAACTGAGACTGCTCTTCTCTGTGTCACGGAGACTCTCCGCACTGCTAAAGCTAACTCTCTCTCCTCTGCTCTTGTCCTTCTAGACCTGTCTGCTGCCTTTGATACTGTGAACCATCAGATCCTCCTCTCCACCCTCTCCGAGCTGGGCATCTCCGGCACGGCTCACTCCTGGATTGCGTCCTACCTGACCGGTCGCTCCTACCAAGTGGCGTGGCGAGAAGCTGTCTCCGCACCACGTGCTCTCACCACTGGTGTCCCCCAGGGCTCAGTTCTAGACCCTCTCCTATTCTCCCTATACACCAAGTCACTTGGCTCTGTCATATCCTCACATGGCCTCTCCTATCATTGCTACGCTGACGATACACAACTAATCTTCTCCTTTCCCCCTTCTGATAACCAGGTGGCGAATCGCATCTCTGCATGTCTGGCAGACATATCAGTATGGATGACGGATCACCACCTCAAGCTGAACCTTGGCAAGACGGAGCTGCTCTTCCTCCCGGGGAAGGACTGCCCGTTCCATGATCTCGCCATCACGGTTGACAACTCCGTTGTGTCCTCCTCCCAGAGTGCGAAGAGCCTTGGCGTGACCCTGGACAACACCCTGTCGTTCTCCGCTAACATCAAGGCGGTGACCCGATCCTGCAGGTTCATGCTCTACAACATTCGGAGAGTACGACCCTGCCTTACACAGGAAGCGGAACAGGTCCTAATCCAGGCACTTGTCATCTCCCGTCTGGATTACTGCAACTCGCTGTTGGCTGGGCTCCCTGCCTGTGCCATTAAACCCCTACAACTCATCCAGAATGCCGCAGCCCGTCTGGTGTTCAACCTTCCCAAGTTCTCTCACGTCACCCCGCTCCTCCGCACACTCCACTGGCTTCCAGTTGAAGCTCGCATCTGTTACAAGACCATGGTGCTTGCCTATGGAGCTGTGAGGGGAACGGCACCTCTGTACCTTCAGGCTCTGATCAGTCCCTACACCCAAACGAGGGCATTGCGTTCATCCACCTCTGGCCTGCTGGCTCCCCTTCCTCTGCGGAAGCATAGTTCCCGCTCAGCCCAGTCAAAACTGTTCGCTGCTCTGGCACCCCAATGGTGGAACAAGCTCCCTCACGACGCCAGGACAGCGGAGTCACTCACCACCTTCCGGAGACATTTGAAACCCCACCTCTTTAAGGAATACCTGGGATAGGATAAAGTAATCCTTCTACTTTGGTCCCAGCTCTCTGCAGGTCATTCACTAGGTCCCCCCGTGTGGTTCTGGGATTTTTGCTCACCGTTCTTGTGATCATTTTGACCCCACAGGGTGAGATCTTGCGTGGAGCCCCAGATCGAGGGAGATTATCAGTGGTCTTGTATGTCTTCCATTTCCTAATAATTGCTCCCACAGTTGATTTCTTCAAACCAAGCTGCTTACCTATTGCAGATTCAGTCTTCCCAGCCTGTTGCAGGTCTACAATTTTGTTTCTGGTGTCCTTTGACAGCTCTTTGGTCTTGGCCATAGTGGAGTTTGGAGTGTGACTGTTTGAGGTTGTGGACAGGTGTCTTTTATACTGATAACTAGTTCATATAGGTGCCATTAATACAGGTAACGAGTGGAGGACAGAGGAGCCTCTTAAAGAAGAAGTTACAGGTCTGTGAGAGCCAGAAATCTTGCTTGTTTGTAGGTGACCAAATACTTATTTTCCACCATAATTTGCAAATAAATTCATTAAAATCCTACAATGTGATTTTCTGGATTTCTTTCCTAAATTTGTCTGTCATAGTTGACGTGTACCTATGTTGAAAATTACAGGCCTCTCTCATCTTTTTAAGTGGGAGAACTTGCACAATTGGTGGCTGACTAAATACTTTTTTTCCCCACTGTAACTCTGTATCCACAATATAGCAGTTAAGTTTTTCCAGCAGCAGACTATGATCGATAATGTCAAAAGCCGCACTGAAGTCTAACAAAACAGCCCCCACAATCTTTTTGTCAACAATTTCTCTCAGCCAATCATCAGTCATTTGTGTAAGTGCTGTGCATGTTGAATGTCCTTCTCTATAAGCATGCTGAAAGTTTGCTGTCAATTTGTTTACTGTAAAATAGCATTGTATCTGGTCAAACACAATTTTTTCCAATAGTTTACTAAGGGTTGGTAACAGGCTAATTGGTCGGCTATTTGAGCCAGTAAAGGGGGCTTTACTATTCTTAGGTAGTGGAATGACTTTTGCTTCCCTCCAAGCTTGGGGGCACACACATTCTAGTAGGCTTAAATTCAAAATATGGCAAATAGGAGTGGCAATATCGTCCACTATTATCCTCAGTAATTTTCCATTCAAGTTGTCAAACCCCGGTGGCTTGTCATTGTTGATAGACAACAATAATTTTTTCACCTCTTCCACACTCACTTTACAACGTTTGTCTTTCATAATTTCGTCAGATATACTTGGATGTGTAGTGTCAGCAATTGTTGCTGGCATGTCATGCCTAAGTTTGCTAATCTTGCCAACGAAACAAATCATTAAAGTAGTTGGCAATATCAGTTGGTTCTGATTCAATGAATGATGTGGCTGAGTTTGCCTTTTTTCCCAAAATGTCATTTAAGGTGCTCCAAAGCTTTTTACTATCATTCTTTATGTCATTTATCTTTGTTTCATAGTGTAGTTTCTTCTTCTTTTTATTCAGTTTAGTCACATGATTTCTCAATTTGCAATACGTTTGCCAATAGGTTGTGCACCCAGATTTATTTGCCATTCCTTTTGCCTCATTACATTTTACATTTTAGTCATTTAGCAGACGCTCTTATCCAGAGCGACTTACAGTTAGTGAGTGCATACATTATTTTTGTATTTTTCATACTGGCCCCCCGTGGGAATTGAACCCACAACCCTGGCGTTGCAAACGCCATGCCCTACCAACTGAGCTACATCCCTCATCCCTCCCAACCATACCATTTTTCACTTCCTCATCAATCCACCGGGATTTAGCAGTTTTTAAAGTCATTTTCTTAATGGGTGCATGCTTATTAGAAACTGGAATAAGCAATTTCATAAATGTGTCAAGTGCAGTGTCTGTTTGTTCCTCATTACACACCACGGACCAACATATATTCTTTACATCAACAACATAGGAATCACTATAAAAAATAACAATAGCAAAATAACAATAGCGAGGCTATATACAGGGGGTACCGGCACAGAGTCAATGTGCGGGGGCACCGGTTAGTCGAGGTAATTGAGGTAATATGTACATATAGGTAGAGTTAATAAAGTGACTATGCATAGATAATAAACAGAGAGTAGCAGCAGCGGTAGCAGAGAGAACAGTCTATGACTAGGGTGGCTGGAGTCTTTGACATTTTTAGGGCCTTCCTCTGACACCTTTGTCTTGCTCATGTTGAGGGAGAGGTTGTTGTCCTGGCACCACACAGCCAGGTGTCTGACCTCCTCCCTATAGGCTGTCTCATCATTGTTGGTGATCAGGCCTACCACTGTTGTGTCATCAGCAAACTTAATGATGGTGTTGGAGTCGTGCCTGGCTATGCAGTCATGAGTGAACAGGGAGTACAGGAGGGGACTGAGCACGCACCCCTGAGGGGCTCCCATGTTGAGGATCAGTGTGGCGGATGTATTGTTACCTACCCTTACCACCTGGGGGCGGCACGTCAGGAAGTCCAGGATCCAGTTACAGAGGGAGGTGTTTAGTCCCAGGGTCCTTAGCTTGGTGATGAGCTTTGAGGGCACTATGGTGTTGAACGCTGAGCTGTAGTCAATGAATAGCATTCTCACATAGGTGTTCCTTTTGTCCAGGTATGAAAGGGCAGTGTGGAGTGCAATAGAGATTGCATCATCTGTGTATCTGTATGCAAATTGCAGTGGGTCTAGGGTTTCTGGGATAATGGTGTTGATGTGAGCCATGACCAGCCTTTCAAGGCTACAGAGTGCTACGGGTCGGTAGTCATTTAGGCAGGTTACCTTAGTGTTCTTGGGCACAGGGACTATGGTGGTCTGCTTGAAACATGTTGGTATTACAGACTCAGACAGGAAGAGGTTGAAAATGTCAGTGAAGACACTTGCCAGTTGGTCAGCGCATGCTCGGAGTACACGTTCTGGTAATCCGTCTGACCCTGCGGCCTTGTGAATGTTGACCTGTTTAAAGGTCTTACTCACATCGGCTACAGAGAGCGTGATCACACAGTTGTCCGGAACAGCCGATGCTCTCATGCATGTATCAGTGTTACTTGCCTCGAAGCGAGCATAGAAGTAATTTAGCTCGTCTGCTCGCGTCACTGGGCAGCTCGCGGCTGTGCTTCCCTTTGTAGTCTGTAATAGTTTGCAAGCCCTGCCACATCCGACGAGCGTCGGAGCCGGTGTAGTACGATTCAATCTTAGTCCTGTATTGACGCTTTGCCTGTTTGATGGTGCGTCGGAGGGCATAGCGGGATTTCTTATAAGCTTCCGGGTTAGAGTCCCGCTCCTTGAAAGCGGCAGCTCTACCCTTTAGCGGATGTTGCCTGTAATCCATGGCTTCTGGTTGGAGTATGTACGTACTGGTCACTGTGGGGACGACGTCATCGATGCACTTATTGATGAAGCCAGTGACTGATGTAGTGTACTCCTCAACGGCATCGGAAGAATCCCGGAACATATTCCAGTCTGTGCTGTTGAGTGCGGTCTTAGTGCCAGCATCAGTTTGTGGTGGTAAATAGACAGCTACAAAGAATATAGATGAAAACTCTCTTGGTAGATAGTGTGGTCTACAGGTTATCATGAGCTACTCTACCTCAGGCGAGCAAAACCTCGAGACTTCCTTAGATATCGTGCACCAGCTGTTGTTTACAAATATACATAGACCGCCACCCCTTGTCTTACCAGAATCTGCTGTTCTATCCTGCCGATACAGTGTATAACCCGTCAGCTGTATGTTATTAATGTCGTTGTTCAGCCACGACTCGGTGAAACATAAGATATTACAGTTTTTAATGTCCTGTTGGTAGGATATACGTGCTTTTAGTTCGTCCACTTTTTATCCAGCGATTGTTTGTTGGCCAATAGTACCGATGGCAAAGGCAGATTAGCCACTCGTCGCCGGCTCCTTACCAGGCACCCCAATCTCCTTCCGCGATATCGCAGTCTCTTTCTCCTGCGAATGACGGGGATGAGGGACCTGTCGGGTGTCTGGAGCAAATCCCTCTCGTCCGACTCATTAAAATAAAAATTATTCGTCCAGTTCAAGGTGAGTAATCGCTGTTCTGATGTCCAGAAGCTCTTTTCGGTCATTAGAGACGGTAGCAGCAACATTATGTACAAAATAAGTTACAAACAATGCAAAAAAACAAACAAAATAGCACGGTTGGTTAAGAGTCCATAAAACGGCAGCCATCCCCTCCAGCGCCATATGCTTTTTATAGTTTATTTCAATTTGGCCCTATCCACATAGGCCAAGTTCCACGAGTGTAAGGGGTTAACGTGGTGGTTATTCAAGAAAATATTGTAGTTCAAACAGAACAATACTACAGGCCTCCAGTTCTTTAACTAACAGAGCAAATGAACAGTGTGTGTGTGTACCTGGTTCTTGTTGGGGTTTTCCATGAAGACACACTCCTTCATGCTGTATGACACTACGGCGTTGCCCCCCAGAGCTGCTACATGCGCACGGACCATGGCAAACACCTCCGCTATGAAGGAATGGAGGAACCCACTTACACCCCCCTCCTAACACACACACACACAGGTAAATATGTTAACCTTTGCGAAATCACTGCAATAAGCTAGCAGAAGAACAGACTACGCACACCACAAAAAGACATGTAATCATTTCCTACTCATCTCTGATGACACCTGCAGGAATCTATTACATAAACGTGTGTGTGCGTGTACCTCTCGTAGTGACGTGGTCTCTCTAATGAAGAACATGTTGATGATTCCCAAGTATTTGATGATGCGCGTCCTGGGAAGAAAGGACAGAGGAGTCATCTTCACCACGATAACAGGGGCACCACATGGCAACGACCTGGTGGAGCGTAGCGACCGGGACCGCACATCTGGGAGAGGACTGCAGCGCTCTGAAGACGAGACTGGAGGAAGGGGAGAGAGAATGGGGGAGAGAAAGGGAGCGAGCGAGAAAAAGAGGGAGAGGGAGGGATGGAGATTCCAGACTCAGCCTTTAGATGGTGCTAAAAAGAATAGCAGATATGATGAGCTATGAGCTGGTGGAAATGGATATAGAGTGGGTGTGTGAGAGTGTGTGTGAGAGTGTGTGTGGAGATTGAATGCAAACTATATGCAGGGGTTAAAATTAGGCCGGGTCCAAATGAGAGCCAGGCAGAGCTGAGACCTGGTAACTTTGGAAATGCACATTTTGAATTAGGGCTATCAATTATTATTTTTTGTCCACATGTAATTTTCCTCAGCCAACAACACGAGTAAGCAACAGCAAAATTAGACAACCCCATAGTAGAATAGTTTATCTATCAAATTGGTCAGCTTGACTTGCACTTCCTTGTGTGTGTTTACTCTGTCCTGTCCACTTCATCCCCCCTGAGTACTTTCACTGAGATGTCTTTGTAGTCTGATACTAGTTTGGAAAGACGAGTTCAAGCACCAGATTCCAAACTCTCCACCATGGCCAAGACCAATGAGCTCTCCAAGGATGTCAGGGACAAGAAAATAATATTTATCTCAAGAGCAAGGAGCATTCAAATTGTGAGTGCCGCACAGGGAGAGAAACATGCATGCCCAGTCATTGTACAGCATTCTTAATGCAGTCACGGGAAAACACACCTTTGAAAGCAATTTTGAAAAGAGGAGGATCTTTTACTATGCTAATTTCTCAACTCCCAAAAATGTGTGAACTGCACCATTTTAAGCGGCTAGGTTTATGCACATTTAGTACTAGCCAATGATGTTGAATGCATAGGGAGACCAGGGCTAAATGTAGCACGAGTCAGGTGGAACTGGTAGGCCTACATTATATTCACTGTACATGGTCCTTGGATGAGTGGCAGTAGCATGTTTTTTGGGACTTTCCAGCCATCAATATGTTGCTAACTAGCAACAAAATAATGTTTAGAGTTTGGTCTAGCTAATGATCAGCCCAATGGGGTAAATGCAGATGGGAAAGCCTATGCTTCAGCCTATTTATTTATTGACACTATACTGCATTAGTTGGGCTACAGAAGGTGATGTCATCAGGCAGGTGATAACCTGCCTGACGATATGGAGAAATATGTTATTGGGAGGGAGAAATAATATTTTTGATTCATTTGAGTAAAGTGTCCTTTTAAAAAGTCACCATAACTTACCTTCTTACAGTCATTGTACAAAAAAATGTGTAGGTCCCGCCGCAACCTGTAGTATGCTGTGATAGGTGTCTTTGTCAGTATATATTGTTTAGGCGTGCCCACGAACTAGGGACCCCACACCTCCCAAATCCCAATTTAACCACTCACTATAAGCTGTGTGTGTGTGTGTGTTCGTGTGTGTGTGTGTGTGTGTGTGTATGAGAGAGTGCGCAGCAGGGTAGCATTGTGACAGTATAATCACAGTGATGAAAGCGTGAGCTGCCATGCACCATTCAGTGACAGACAGACAAACTGCCATACAGCCTCTGCAGACAGACAGACATACAGATACAGACAGACAGACTGGCCAGGCCTTGTGTGCATGTGTATGTGTGCATGCATTTACCTGTTTATGTGTGTGTGTGTGTTAAGAGTCCCTATGTGGGCTTGTTTAAATTAGTGTGTGTGTGTGTGTGTGTGTGTGTGTGTGTACGATCAATACAAAACAGAAACAGAGAAGGCAGTCTGCTAAGCAGAATGATTGAATCAAGCCAGAGTGTGAAAGATGTTCCATCTCGTAACATAGTGAATGAAGCTTCAATCCGACCAGAAACCTTCAGAGCCAATTTGAATAACATTAAGTCTGCATCTCAAATTACTCCCCACTCCCTAATTAGAGCATTACACATATGGCTCTGGTTCAAAGTAGTGCATTAAAGGGAATAAGGTGTGATTTGAGATGTGTTGTGTCATTTAAACACAGTTAATTATGCTCAGTTATCATCACAGTTTATGACAAAGTTAATTTACGTAGCATCAAACTGCAATTCCCCCAGTCGCCAGCTTTAGTGAGATATGTTTTTAGCGTGTTTTAAGATCCTCTTTTATGTTTACTTCCTCCATGTCTGTCACTATGGCGACAGGGTCAGAGATTATACACTGGCTGTTGGTTGGTTATTCCTCTGAGGGGCGGGGCTTCAACTTTCACACTCTAGCTAATCAGCTGGTGCATGATCTGCGACGCTCCGCCCCCCGGTGGCAATTGGGGAGGGATGTATATTTTTGTGTGTGTGTTTGTGTGTGTGCGAGTGTACCAGAGTTTGCTAGCGACTGTGTCCTCCTACTTGTCTTAACTGATCCTCGTCTTATGGTGTGAGCTTTCAGCCTAAGCAGCTCTAGCCAGGTGCTGCATCTGTCTGCAAAGGAACCGTAATCAACCGAGGAAGCTGGAGAAACATACACACACAAGCGCGCACACACACAACATCCACACCGCATATATGCGCGCGCACACACACCACACACGCACATACATACCGAAAACCGCATACACCCATGACATAGAACATAATACAGACACATAAAGAAAAAGAACACAGTACAAAATAAAAATAAAAGAACATAGAGAAAATAAAGGAGGAGGTTGGGGCGGAGCAGGAGAACAAAAGGATGAGAACTTAAAACAGGTCCGTGGTAGCCATGGCAGCAGGGTGGGGGGTGGGGGGGGGGGGGGCTTACCTCGAGACGAGGAGTGGATCATGGCACTCTCTGGAACACCTGTCGACACACACACACCATGATGCACTGCCACACACACAACCACAGATGTTGACTCTTCAGTCCTCAGCAAGATACAACACACTGTATCTCAATACCTTACAGACGCTTCCTTTCCTACACCCTATTCCCTAGTCCTTATACCTGGTCCTAGGATCCACATCTTGTTCCCTAGTCCTAAATCCTAACTCCTACGTCTAGCTCCTAGTCCTGGCTGAAGTGGAGGAGGTGAAGGGCGGCCATTTTGGTTTAACCCCTGCTCTCTCTCCAGACCAGCGAAGAGCAGGTTTGTTTCTCTTCTAGACATCACAGTGCTATTACTCCACATAGCTCTACACACACAGACACAGATAGGGCTGCAGGTCTAAAATACCTGAGAGAAGATGTACCTGGTTATACAGTTACAGTATTTACCTGGTCATACAGTCACAGGCGGTAAAGTCATGTTTAAGACAACTACTACAGAACATATTGAAATAGAGGACAGAGAATAGAACACTATGGTTAAGGGAGCTTCAAGGGGTGAGAGGCTGCCGTTTTACAGCCCTCTAACCAATTGTACTATTATGTGTGTTTTTCCGCGTTATTTGTAATTTATTTTGTTCATAATGTTTCTGCCATCGTCTCTTATAACCAAAAAGAGCTTCTGGATATCAGGACAGCGATTACTCCCTCGTATGGACGAAGATTTTTTCTTCAACGAGGCGGCCGCGAAGGATATCATACAGACACCCGACAAGGCCCAAATCCCCGTCATTCGCGTGAGGAAGAGACGGAGATATCGTGGACGTAGATCGGGGTGCCTTGTAAGGATCCGACGGCGAGCGAGTAAACTGCCTCTTCCATCAATCCTATTAGCCAACGTTCAATCATTTGAAAATAAATTGGATGACCTAAGATTACGGTTATCCTACCAACGGGACATTAAAAACTGTAATATCTTATGTTTCACCGAGTCGTGGCTGAACGACGACATGGATATCATACAGCTAGCGGGCTATACGCTACATCGGCAGGATAGAACGGCTGACTCCGGTAAGACAAGGGGTGGCGGTCTGTGTATATTTGTAAACAACAGCTGGTGCACAAAATCAAATACTAAGGAAGTCTCGAGGTTTTGCTCGCCTGAGGTAGAGTTTCTTATGATAAGCTGTACACCACACTATTTACCAAGATAGTTTTCATCTATATTTTTCATAGCTGTCTATTTACCACCACAAACCAATGCTGGCATTAAGATTGCACTGAATGAGTTGTACAAGGCCATAAATCAACAGGAAAACGCTCATCCAGATGCAGCGCTCCTAGTGGCCGGGGACTTTAATGCAGGGAAACTTAAATCCGTTCTACCTAATTTCTACCAGCATGTTAAATGTGCAACCAGAGGAAAAAAAAACTCTAGACCACCTTTACTCCACACACAGAGACGCATACAAAGCTCTCCCTCGCCCTCCATTTGGCAAATCTGACCATAACTCTATACTCCTGATTCCTGCTTATAAGCAAAAACTAAAGCAGGAAGCACCAGTGACTCGGTTAATAAAAAAGTGGTCAGATGACGCAGATGCTAAGCTACAGGACTGTTTTGCTAGCACAGACTGGAACATGTTCTGGGATTCTTCAGACAGCATTGAGGAGTACACCACATCAGTCACTGGCTTCATCAATAAGTGCATTGATGATGTCGTCCCCACAGTGACCGTACGTACATACCCCAACCAGAAGCCATGGATTACAGGAAACATCCGCACTGAGCTAAAGGGTAGAGCTGCCGCTTTCAAGGAACGGGACTCTAACCCGGACGTTTATAAGAAATCCCGCTATGACCTCCGACGAACCATCAAACAGGCAAAGAGTCAATACAGGACTAAGATTGAATCGTACTACACTGGCTCTGACGCTCGTCGGATGTGGCAGGGCTTGAAAACTATTACAGACTACAAAGGGAAGCACAGCCGCGAGCTGCCCAGTGACACAAGCCTACCAGACGAGCTAAACCACTTCTATGCTCGCTTCGAGGCAAGCAACACTGAAGCATGCATGAGAGCACCAGCTGTTCTGGATGACTATGTGATCACGCTCTCCGTAGCCGATGTGAGTAAGACTTTTAAGCAGGTCAACATTCACAAGGCCGCAGGGCCAGACGGATTACCAGGACGTGTACTCCGAGCATGTGCTGACCAACTGGCAAGTGTCTTCACTGACATTTTCAACATGTCCCTGACTGAGTCTGTAATACCAACATGTTTCAAGCAGACCACCATAGTCCCCGTGCCAAAGGACTCTTAAGATAACCTGCCTAAATGACTACCGACCCGTAGCACTGACGTCTGTAGCCATGAAGTGCTTTGAAAGGCTGGTCATGGCTCACATCAACAGCATTATCCCAGAAACCCTAGACCCACTCCAATTTGCATACCGCCCCAACAGATCCACAGATGATGCAATCTCTATTGCACTCCACACTGCCCTTTCCCACCTGGACAAGAGGAACACCTACGTCAGAATGCTATTCATTGACTACAGCTCAGCATTCAACACCATAGTGCCCTCTAAGCTCATCACTAAGCTAAGGATCCTGGGACTGCATGGCCAGGCACGACTCCAACACCATCATTAAGTTTGCCGACGACACAACAGTGGTAGGCCTGATCACCGACAACGATGAGACAGCCTATAGGGAGGAGGTCAGAGACCTGGCCGTGTGGTGCCAGGACAACAACCTCTCCCTCAACGTGACCAAGACAAAGGAGATGATTGTGGACTACAGGAAAAAAAAGAGGACTGAGCACGCCCCCATTCTCATCGACGGGGTTGTAGTGGAACAGGTTGAGAGCTTCAAGTTCCTTGGTGTCCACATCACCAACGAACTATCATGGTCCAAACACACCAAGACAGTCGTGAAGAGGGCACGACAAAGCCTATTCCCCCTCAGGAGACTGAAAAGATTTGGCATGGGTCCTCAGATCCTCAAAAAATTCTACAGCTGCACCATCGAGAGCATCCTGACTGGTTGCATCACCGCCTGGTATGGCAACTGCTTGGCCTCCGACTGCAAGGCACTACAGAGGGTAGTGCGTACGGCCCAGTACATCACTGGGGCCAAGCTTCCTGCCATCCAGGACCTCTATACCAGGCGGTGTCAGAGGAAGGCCCTCAAAATTGTCAAAGACTCCAGCCACCCTAGTCATAGACTGTTCTCTCTGCTACCGCACGGCAAGCGGTACCGGAGTGCCAAGTCTAGGTCCAAAAGACTTCTCAACAGCTTCTACCCCCAAGCCATAAGACTCCTGAACAGCTAATCATGGCTACCCGGACTATTTGCACTGCCCCCCCACCCCATCCTTTTTACGCTGCTGCTACTCTGTTAATTATTTATGCATAGTCACTTTAACTCTACCCACATGTACATATTACCTCAACTACCTCAACTAGCCGGTGCCCCCGCACATTGACTCTGCAACGGTACCCCCCTGTATATATAGCCTCCCTACTGTTACTTTATTTTACTTCTGCTCTTTTTTTTCTCAACACTTTTTTTGTTGTTGTTGTTTTATTTTTAAAAATAAATGCACTGTTGGTTAAGGGCTGTAAGTAAGCATTTCACTGTAATGTCTGCACCTGTTGTATTCGGCGCATGTGACCAATAAAATTTGATTTGATTTGATTTGATTTTAATGAGGGATGGCTATTGGAGGTTAGGCAGTTGTTAGTGGTCAGGACTTATAAGGGGTAAGCTGTGGTGGTGTGTACCTGAAGGTTTGGCTGTTGGCTGGTTGTTGGAGGACGTTGACTCTCCACACAGCTCCATAGAAAACTGTAGCTGCTCCTCATTCTCACCACTCCCTGGAAAACAAACAAACACACACAGAGTTCAATCTCTTTCACCCCTCAACACAACCAAGTGCAATAACTCAAGTAGAGGGTCTTATCTCCTTCAGCTCTTCGTAACTCCTTATCCCTTTATCTCTAACCCCTGACCTATAGCCTTTGAGCATACTAACCCCTGGTAAGAGCCTTGTCTGCTGCCAGCTGAGTCTCCTTTTCAAAACTCATGGCTACGGCCGTCACCGCCACCTGGAGGGGAGAGGGGGGAGAGGGGGGGAGAAACGGGAGAGGGTATGTGAGATAATGAGAGAGAATTAAACTATCATTACCTTGTTGCTATCATTTATTGACACAATGTCAGGTAAAGTGATGGGGGGAAAAAATGTATACAGTTACATATCGCGGTATTATTTTTGGATGATATTATATCGATATTTGACTCAAAGTATCGACTTCTTAAAAAAGGTAGCTTTAGCTAGCGCTAGTCGGCACCAAAACTCTGGTATTTTTCATCCTATAGCCCAAGTAAGGCTGGGCTATATGGCCTAAAAATCCTATCTCGATTTTTTAAAACGTATAGGCGATTCACAATATATATCTAGATTTTTTACAAATGTTTTCTCTAAATAAGCGTTGTTGTACAATTAAAAGGTCAAATACACTGCATTTCAAACAGTCAGCAATAATCTAATGAATTCAGGGCTTATGAAGTTATACCTAGGCTAAATATAAGCCTTCCACAACCATAAGACCCACAAACAATTTAATTATTTTATCAAAATAGTTTAACTTGCTGTTTTTGCAATAATCACTGATCTGGTCATCAAAAAGAAAGGAAAGGAGGACCAAGGCACTCTTCATATAATATATATATATTTTTTGTATGGAATGTTCAATAGAAACAAGTTTTGTTTTTTTTATCCAACGCGTTTCGGCTGCATGGCCTTCGTCAGGGAGTATAAAGAAATAATACAATGTCCTCTTTTTAACAGCTTTTCCAATTAGCCCTAATTTGAAGAGGGAGTGGTTACAAAGTTGATTGGACACACCTAGTAAGCAATACTATACAAATTAAAAAGTGAAATACTGTAACTATGTTATCATACAAATACAACTCGAAGTTAAAAGTATCAGAACACTTAGAAAGGTAGTTCTAACCTTAAATATGACTGGGAAAAGTGTCAAAAATAAGAAAGCAATATATTCCATCGTACACTAGAAACCAGCAAAACATGAACAACAACAGTCTAAACATAGCTGAGGGCAATTGAGCACAATGTCCACTAGATGACAGCAAATGGACCTATCACAACCCTACAGGAAGTAATCACTGATCTGGCTTTCAAGTCTGTCTACGAAAATGCCCTTTTTTGTTACAAATTTAACTAGAACCATGCATAATGCACATTCACTAGTAATGACTAACTTCTTGTAGCAGACATTAGGATATACAATTTTTTGAACACAGGTCTCATCAACAATCTCTCAAGCCCACGTGCTAGTGATTAGTCAGCGAATCTTTATATTTCAAGTTTAGTCAACTTGGGATCTATTTGCTAGCTAACAAGGTTGAACAGTTGAATTGTTATGAACACACCATTCTGTCTGTCTCCAACTGTTTGAAAAGCATGTTAGCCTGTCCACTTTATTCAGATGTTGAAATCAAGTGGCCTACCTTATTTCTCAGAAATGGAGTTCCTTATATGGAGTTCCTTATATAATTGTGTTTTATGCTTATTGCACATTTATAAAACACAGACTAGTATAACAGTCTTTGGCTAAAATGCAGCTAGCGGTACGTTTTCCAGATTCAATTTTCATTGATACTCTCGTTTTAGTAGTGTCTGCTCTGCACGCAATTTGAATAATTGAGACATAACAGGGGTATCGTTAGAAAAGTTAACTTCTCCTCTATTACAGTAAAATAATGTCTCAATTTGTTTTGGTGTCAATATGACCGATTCTGTTGGCCCAAATCTCAAATAGCGAGTTGAAACCGCTTGTCAGAGAGGAAGATGTGATCTCAACTTTGTTGGCGTATGGAGGCAGGGGGAGGGGCTTGGTGTGTGTGTAAAACATAGAGGAAGAGGCGAAGTGAAAGGTTTCACTCTCGCTAAAATCTTGTCCAAAATAAGACCAATGCATTTCTATGGGCTTATTTTGGACCTAAGCTTGTCCGCCTTTGGGACAACGACTCCCATTGTTAGGGCGGAGACGTGCATCTCGTCATATACAGATCTCTAGTGTAAATGGGAAGGTGCACACAGCACAGAGGAGCGAATGAGACGAGTCCAAAAATACAACATGATACGACATAAACGCTCATGAAAACGAAAAATACGACATAAACGCTCATGAAAACGAAAAATAACAAAACCTTGATTCTTGCGATACAGGCATTTGGAATATCGCACAAAAACATTACTTTGAATTAATTCGATATATCGCCCAGCCCTAAACCCAGGGCTATTCAACTCTAACTCTACGAGGTCCGGAACCTGCTGGTTTTCTGTTATGCCTGATCATTAATTGCACCCACCTGGTGTCCCAGGTCTAAATCAGTCCCTGATTAGAGGGGAACAATGAAAAAACGCAGTGGATCTGGCTTCGAGGCCCAGCGTTGAGTTTGAGGAATATAGCTTGTTCTCCATCTTCAACATATTTTCAGCACTTATTTCCCTGACTGATCGAAACTAAATGTATCATGCTCTCGTCTCTCTGCAGCAGACACATAGTGAGCAATATGTTTGGAACATCAAATCGCAATAAAATACCATTATCGAAACGCAATACATATAGAATCGTGAGAATCACAATACTGTGATTGATAATATTGTATCAGCACCTAAGTATCTTGATAATATCGTATTGTGAGGTCCCTGGCAATTCCCAGCCCTAATACTGACCAAAATGTTTTTAGGAAAGATGGACAAAATAGGAGAGGTGTGCTTAGGTGTGTGTCCTCTTACCTGTATGAGTTCTTCTTCTGGTACGGCTACAGTGAAGTTGAGATGGCATAGACAGCAGGGGATCATGGAACGCAACTTAAAGTATAGACTCTACACACACACACACACACACACACACAAATAAAAAGCAGACAGTTCAATTTAATATGTAGATTAAGTAAGAGGAACACCAACGCTTGGGCTTGACCAGTATTTCCCCATTGTGCGTGTGTGTGTGGTCTTACCTTGAGCAAATTCTCACAGAGATCAGTGAAGATCTTGTTGAGGCCCTGGTTGGTCAGATTGGCATTACTGAGTCTGTAGACCCTGACAGATGTAAACATCTAGGGAGGGGGGGGATTGGCGAAGAACGAAAGACAAATATATTATAATCTCTCAATAACCTGTAGTACAGTAGTAGTAATAGCCTAGTAGTAGTAGTACAGCATTAGTAGTAAGAGTAGTAGTACAGTAGTAACAGTAGAAGTAGTAGTACAGTAGAAGTACAGTAGTAGTAGTAGTAGTACAGTAGTAGTAGAAGTAGTACAGTAGTAGTAGTAAAGTAGTAATAGAAGTAGCAGTAGTAGTAGTAGTAGTAGTAGTAGTAGTAGTACAGTAGTAGTTGAAGTAGTAGTAGTAGTACAGTAGTAATAGAAGTAGCAATAGTAGTAGTAGTAGTAGAAGTAGTACAGAAGTAGTAGTAGAAGTAGTAGTACAGTAGTAGTTGAAGTAGCAGTAGTAGTAGTACAGTAGTGGTAGTAGAAGTAGTAGTACAGTAGTAGTAGTACAGTAGCAGTAGTAGTACAGTAGTAGTAGTAGTAGTAGTACAGTAGCAGTAGTAGTACAGTAGTAGTAGTAGTACAGTAGTAGTAGAAGTACAGTAGTAGTAGTAGTAGTAGTACAGTAGTAGAAGTAGTACAGTAGTAGTAGTAGTACAGTAGTAGTAGAAGTACAGTAGTAGTAGTAGTGTTTCAGTGTGTGAATCTGACCTGTAGCCCTGAAGTCCAGTTGTAAATCCCAGGCATGACCTCTGTGTTACAGCTGTAGAACCCTGGAGAGAGAGACAGATAGATGGACGGATATCGTAAAAGACCAGAGCTGAATATCATTTCATTTCTAGTAGAACAGTGTGTGTGTGTGTACCTGCAGGCATGGGGGCATCAGTGAGTAGGGATTGGATGTCCTCTACTGCATCAGTGTCATCAATCTGAAGACATGAGAAGAAATACATTAACACACAGATTTGACTTGATTTGATTTATTAGGATCCCCATTAGCCGACGCCATTGGCAACAGCTAGTCTTACTGGAGTCCGACACATAACGAAAAATACATTATGACAAAATACTTTACAATTTCCATATATTTAAAAACATTAACATGTAGTGTGCATCTATCAGTTACACATACATGTCAGTACATACACACAACAAGTAGGTCACATGAGGGAGAGGTGTTGTGCCGTGAGGTGTTGCTTTATTTGTTTTTTAAGATCCTATACAGATCCTATACTACGCCCACACACTACAATTTACACATCCAACATAACACACCCCCCCTACAGTATACACACACACACACACCCTACAGTACAGTAAACACAGCCAACCGTACATCCAGTACGAAGGCGTCCTTCTTGCCGTGGGAAAGGTCTAGCTCTGACAGCTCGTCTGAACTCTCAGAGGTAGACCTGAACAGTCTGGATCGCTGTCTGTCAGGGATAGGAGAGCCCACCACCTCCTCTATACACTCCTACAACAACAACAAAAATAACAATAATAACAACAACAACATGTGTGTGTGTGTGTGTGTGTCCGACCAACCCTGTCCGGGTTGTGAGCCACTGAGTTAGTCACAGTCCCATAGAAACACCATCAGTCCAAACCTCACACTAAGTAGCTACTTCCTTATCACACCCAATTTCACCCACACCCAATATAGTGCTATCATCAGAGTAGGTTTTTATATTAGTGATAATCTCACACACACACATTTTAGTGAAGGGAGGGAAAGTGAGAGGACTCTTTCATAAAGCCCTGTACTAGCTGTGTTCTTGAGTGTACTCACATAGAGCTGTGATTCTAGACTGTATCATAGAGCTGTGATTCTAGACTATCATAGAGCTGTGAATCTAGACTATCACAGAGCTGTGATTCTAGACTGTACTTAGAGCTGTGATTCTAGAGTGTATACATTTACTGTAGAGCTGTGATACTCATACAGCTGTAATTGTAGGACTACTCATATATTGTGATTCTAGAGTGGGTGTAGTACTTATATAGAACTGGGATTCTAGAGCTGTTGTACTGAGATAGAGCTGTGGTTTTAGAGGGTGAGGTACTCATATAAAGCTGTGATTAATAGAGAGGGTAGTGTGGCATGCGTCACTAATTGGGCAAGCTAGTACCGTATTCAGGCCGGTGAACGCCTCAGGGTCCAACGTAAATAACTTCTTAATAACCAGAGAAAGACACAGAGAGGAGTTAACTATGATGTTCCACACAGACTTACACCTGCACACATATGATTGTCTGTGTGTGTGTGTGTGTGTGTGTCTCTCTCTCTCTCACCAGGGGGTGTATGTTGTAGAGCTCCTTGTTCATGGCGATGGTGTCGTTGATGCGTTTCTGCATGGTGGAAATGTGTTGGTCGTAACTCAGGTCACTGGGAGTCTTACCAGCTATCTGGATACCACCTGGAGCTGGCAGGGCTGACAGGTACACACCTGTTGCAGACTGGACACACACACACACACATCAGAGAGAGAGACAGACATACACACACTTGTCAGATACACACCTTGTAGCAGACTGGAGGAGAGGAAGGGTCACACAGATGCACATAGACATACACACTCCAACACAGGACTTACAGCTAGTCCTAAGAGCATGTTTTCTCCCACACTGATCTGAATGCGGAGTCCAAACAGAGCGTTCATGGAGCGCAGCTTCAGTTTGTTCATCAGCTGGGTGTGGAGCTCATACTCCATGAAGGGGAGGAGGTTAGAGATGGCTGTGGCATTCACCTCCCCTTGGGACTTCTTCTTGGTACGACACAACCTGCAATACAACACAACATTACACACACCTCCCTGGGCCACCTTCTTCATACGAAACAGTTTAGAGGAACAACATAATATTACACAGACACAAAGACAGCATATATGGTTGTAGTGGTAGTGTGTGTTACCTGGCCTGTATGAGGCAGCCCTTCCCAGTAACAGCAGCCTCAACAGGTAGGTCTATGGTAGTAAAGAGCACGTCAGGGACCTTCTGTCTCCTACAGTGGTAGCAGTATGTGAGCTGAGCTGGGAACGGCATGTTGAACTCGTCATACGGGATGTGACAAAATCCGCAGCTAGGGGGCGACGCATCATCAAACCTGGAATACACACACTACTCAGAAAGTCTGCTAAAAAGCTATGAAGTTCATTCACTCATTTGCATTTTAGTCATTTAGCAGACACTCTTATCCAGAGCGACTTACAGGAGCCATTAGGGTTAAGTTCCTTGCTCAAGGGCACATCGACAGTATTTTCACCTAGTCAGCTTGGGGATACGAACCGGCGACCTTTCGGTTACTGGCCCAACCGCTAGGCCTAACCGCTAGGCTACCTGCCGCCTCGTTACGCCACTGTCCATTTAGAACCGATCCCTGACTAGGTTAGCTAGTCCAAAACCCTCCCGGCCACTCAAGTACTCTCACACCTACACTAACACCCATCCAACAGTGTGTGTGTGTGTGTGTGTGTGTGTGTGTGTGTGTGTATGTATGTATGTATGTATGTATGTATGTATGTATGTATGTATGTATGTGTGTGTGTTCCTACCCCAGCCAGGCTGAGCTAACTTCCCCCTCTCCCCTCTCCGACCCAACCACGCCGAGGGGCGGTTGCCGTGACAACCTGTGGTCGCTGCCGCCGGCGTCCAGACAGCCCTTGCGCATGAACCTGGGATTCAACATGGCCGCCGTGCCCGACGCAGACAGGATACACACCTCCTCACTTTGGAGGGAGGGGAGAGGGCGGAGGAGGGAGGGTAGAGGGGGGAAAAGAGGGTGATATGGGGATGTTAAAATTAGTGTACAATTAGATCACTTTCTTTGCCCATCAAACATACTTTGAAATAGAGCTTTGGTCTATGTATTGTGTGAGTATAAGTATGGTGTGTGTAATGTACCAGATGGTGGTACTCTCGCTGTATCCCACCACAGCGTGGCAACCCAGGGCTTTGGCATGAGACTTGATCTCCTGACGAATCTCCTCCCACCATGCGTCCCTCGTCTCCGGCTCGTCTGCAACACACACACACACCGTCATACACAGATGCACACAGTTACACATACATAGCGACACACACACACAAGCTGGCTACCTGACTCACTGTCTACCAGAACCTAGCGACTGTCAGAAATTAGCTGACCATCAGAAACTAGCAGCTATTAGAAACTAGCACCTATTAGAAACTGGCAACTTTCAGAAATGTACTGACTATCGCAAACTAACTTTTAGAAGAAACTATCAGAAACTAGCGACGGTCGGAAACTAGTGATGGAAACTAGCTACTATCGGAAACTAGCAACTATCGGAAACGACTGACTATTAGAAACTAGCGACTATCAGCAAATACAAACTATCAGAAGAACTATCTGTCTGTCTGACCAACAGAGAATCAACTGACACTTTTTTTTGCTGATTGGGATAAATGGTGCATCATAGCAAGCAGATACCACTTAACCAACTGTCAGTATGTGACACAGTGAACATGATGTTGATGACAAACATGAAGATAATGTGTTTAGTTAGTGTCTGGGCTGTTCTCATCTCCTATAGCATTATCTCCAGGCCAGCCAATCACAGGAAGACAGGGATCCAGTGGGTGGAGTAATGGGGTGACGTCCCAAGTCCCCTGCATCTCCTTACCTTCATGCCCATAACGGGTGGTGTTCAGTAGGGCACACCAAAGCTAAACATTTTGAAATGGAAAACGAATAGGAGTATTCTTATTGGACAAGTTCAGGAAGTGTCTTCCTGTTTCAAAATGTTATCTCCAGTTTCTGTGCCTCCTGAACACAACCCTGGCTTCACATAAGGCCAGGAGAGGAGGAGGAGAGGAGACCATGTCAGAGCCTTCATCATATTTAAATGAGGGACACCTGGTGGAGGCTGAACCATGGTCCTTAATAACAACCATTGGTCCATGCCATACCTCCTTGGACAGGCCACATGCCCACACAGAGAGAGAGAGCGAGAGGAAGGGAGAGAGAAAGGGAGGGAGGGAGGGAGGGAGAAAGCGAAAAACAGAGAACGGGAGGAAGACGGATGGATCAAGTGTAACAGACCCAGAGCAGAGCAGGGTCCTCTCTTAAAGAAGCAGCATGTCTCACAGGGACGCTCACATCACGTTCACGCGCATGGGCGAGCTCATGAACACGTGCACGCTCATGGGCAGCGGAGGGCCATATTCATTCATCACAGAGTCTAAACCACCTCAGCCCTGTCTCTATCTCACTACACTACTCTCCGTTGCGCTCCCTCCCTCCCTCCATTCCTGTACCCCCTCCATTCTCTTGTCTCTTCCCCCCCGCCCCTGTATGAATACGGCCCAGTGGAAGCCAGGGATGATATGCACATGCCCAGTCTATCTTAGTGTGAACCTGGACAGGTTTGTCCACAATGTGAATGCTTTGCTGGGTTAGAGGAGCATTACTGAAGCGCTGGGAGAACATTAGGGATGCATTGCGTCACACACTGCCGTAGCAGGAGCAGCCTGGTAGGGTTGGCTAGCCAGGCAGGAGTCAGGGTGGGGGTGGGAGGGTGGGGGGGGGTAGCGCATGCTCAGCACACACACACAGACTAGAGAGATGGCAGGTCAGTGAAAGACTGGCTAGTGACTACTGCACCAAAACACTGACAGAGATTTAGTCTGGAGGTTTAACTATATTTGTGTGTGTGTGCGTGTCAGTGAGCTGCCATGTCTCCATTGTGTGAAACCAGTAGAAGGAGGGAGGTACCTGCAGCAACACTATTCCAGTCTAGCAGTTTGTAAGAGCGTGTGTTACCCAACACTGGGCCAGAACAACACACACCATTAGTACAGAAAGAGAGAGAAAAAGAGAAGATACAAACTACAACACAACAGCACCACAGTCATTGCAAAGACAGACCACGGAGTCAATACCAGAGTCTAGCATAGAGAGGGAGAGGACAAGGTAGAGAGAAAAGCTAGGGTGAGAAGAAGAATGATCCAAGAGAGATGCTGTGAAATTAGGAAGGAGAAAGAGGTATAGGCTAAAGAGGCTAGACCGAGAAGAGGCATGCACTAGCAGATACAGTGCCTTCATAAAGTATTCACACCCCTAGACTTTATCAACATGTTGTTGTGTTACAGCCTGAATTTAAAATTGATTCAATTGAGATTTCTTTGGTCACTGGCCAACACACAATCAAAATCCTAGACGGAAACCTGGTTTAATCTGCTTTCCAACAGACACTGGGAGACAAATTCAGTTTGTTGCTTACCAAGAAGACAGTGAATGTTCCTGAGTGGCCGAGTTACAGTTCTGACTTAAATCTACTTGAAAATCTATGGCAAGACCTGAAAATGGTTGTCTAGCAATGATCAACAACCAATTTGACAGAGCTTGAAGAATTTTGAAAGGAATAATGGACAACTGTTGCACAATCCATGTGTGAGATTTACCCAGAAAGACTGTTGTAATCGCTGCCAAAGGTGCTGCTACAAAGTATTGACTCAGGGGTGTGAATACTTATGTAAATGTGATAGTTCTGTATTTCATTTTCAAAAACTTTGCAAGAATGTCTAAAAACATGTTTTCACTTTGTCATCATGAGGTATTGTGTGTAGACGGCTGAGACAAAAAATGTTTTATCCATTTTGAATTCAGGACGTAACACAGCAAAATGTGGAATAAGTCAAGGGGCATGAATCATTTCTGAAGGCACTGTATCTCTACAGTCTAAGACTTAGGCTTGGCCTAATGTTTTTCAACAGTATTGAGAGTTAAAGTGAAAAGTTAACTTCTTGTAATTTTAGTGCACTCATTTTCTTTATCGTGATTAATCTGAAAGTGTTCAAAATATACTGAAAACATCTCAAATACATAAAATTACACGATTACATTCATAGATTATGTTTTCACGTCTGAAATTGATTAAAATAAGAAAGTTTAATTGTGTTAACCTCAGAACAACTGTTAATTTCAGATAGCCTGCTGAATGGTCCTGGACCCTCTCTGGACCTCTACAGCTCTACATCCCAGAAGAGAGGGAGGTTCAGCCTATCAGCCTGCAGTAACTGTCTGATTAACCTTTCTCCTAACCATGTAACATCTAACACTACACCACAACAGACAGACAGCTCCTGCTCTCCGTGGAATGGGTGATTCTGAGACGACACACTGACGCTATTTTACTGGGTGTAAAGTCTGCTGTCAAATCAGAGGAGTCTGACAGACAACTTCTCTACCACCGCACTTCACCTCTTGTTGCGATGCCACATCTACCACTCCCACAATACTCAGTAGTGTTTTCACGATACCAGAATTTAGACTTCGATACCAGGTTTAGTATCACAATGCTCGATACCATCATGATACTCAATACCAAAACAATACCATGGCAAAACAAGAAGGCATATTAGCCAGTCACAGAAGGAAAAACTCAGCTACTGCTCTGTTCAATCGCTGGGCAACTTTTGAGTTCAATATCATTACATTCTAATTTTTTTACATCTACATTTTTCAGAGACAGCCATGTATGCATTAATGAATCAATTATACAATCATACAATCAATTTGACTTCGTTTTTACTAACCTAACAACATAATAATTTATTTGAATGGTAAATCAAGATGTAGCCTAGGCCTATCCACAATACAGGTGAATGCATATTCAATAGGAGTGTGTGCATGCATTTTGTTATTGAGCTGAACGCGATACACAACATCCAGGATTAGCATTTAGTCACTCCAGCAATGTGGTGGAAAATGGTGTTTCATAAGTAAGCATATTTTCCCTGTTTTTTTTTTCAACCTTCTTGGGTATGAAGCTACAAACTTGGCACACCTCTATTTGGGGAGTTTCTCCCATTCTTCTCTGCAGATCCTCTCAAGCTCTGTCAGGTTGGATGGGGAGCGTCTCTACACAGCTATTTTCAGGTCTCCCCAGAGATGTTCGATTGGGTTCAAGTCCGGGCTCTGGCTGGGCCACTCAAGGACATTCAGAAACTTGTCCCGAAGCCACTCCTGCGTTGTTTTGGCTATGTGCTTAGGGTCGTTGTCCTGTTGTAAGATGAACCTACACCACAGTCTGAGGTCCTGAGCGCTCTGGAGCAGGTTTTCATCAAGTATCTCTCTGTACTTTGCTCCGTTCATCTTCCCCTCAATCCTGACTAGTCTCCCAATGCCTGCCGCTGAAAAACATCCCCACAGCATAATTCTGCCACCACCATACTTCACCATAGGGATGGTGCCAGTTTTCCTCCAAACGTGAAGCTTAGCATTCAGGCCAAAGAGTTCAATCCTGGTCTGAGAGTCTTTAGGTGCTTTTTGGCAAACTACAAACAGGCTGTCATGTGCCTTTTACTGAGGAGTGGCTTCCGTCTGGCCACTCTACCATAAAGGCCTGATTGGTGGAGTTCTGCAAGGTTGGTTGTACTTCTGGAAGGTTCTCCCATCTCCACAGAGGAACTCTGGAGCTCTGTCAGAGTGACCATCGGGTTCTTGGTCACCTCCCTGACCAAGGCCCTTTTCCCCCGATTGCTCAGTTTAGCCAGGCGGCCAGCTCTAGGAAGAGTCTTGGTGGTTCCAAACCTCTTCAATTTAAGAATGATGGAGGCCACTGTGTTCTTGGGGACGTTCAATGCTGCAGAAATGTTTTGGTACTCTTCCCCAGATCTGTGCCTCGACACAATTCTGTCTCAGAGCTCTACGGACAATTTCTTCGACCTCATGGCTTGGTTTTTTGCACTGTCAACAGTGGGACCTTACATAGACAGGTGTGTGCCTTTCCAAATAATGTCCAATCAATTGAATTTACCACAGGTGGACTCCAATCAAGTTGTAGAAACATCTGAAAGATGATCTCAATTTTGAGTCTCATAGCAAAGGGTCTGAATACTTATTTAAATAAGGTATTTTTTTAATAATACATTTGCAAAAATTTATTAAAACCTGTTTTTGCTTCGTTATTAATCGGGTATTGTATGTAGATTGATGAGAAAAAAAAGTACCTTAATCCATTTTAGAATAAAGCTGTAAAGGGAAGGGGTATGAAT